TTTCTTTGCACCGGCAGGTCAGAACGGCAGAGTCCGGTAAGATCAGAGGTGGTGGTGATTGTCTCTTTATTAACAACATCTGGTGCGCAATCTCTAATATTAAGGAAGTCTCGAGGTTCTGCTTGCCTGAGTTAGAATACCTCATGATAAGCTGTAGACCATACTATTTACCAGGAGAGTTTTCATCTGTAATTTTCATAGCTGTCTATTTACCACCACAATCCGATGCTGACATTAAGACCGCACTCAGTGAGTTGTATTGGTCCATAAGATAACAAGAAAATGCTCATCCAGAGGCGGCGCTCCTAGTGGCTGGTAATTTTAATGCAGGACAAATAAAATCAGTTTTACTTCATTTCTACCAGCATGTCACCTATGCAACAAGAGGGCTAAAAATTCTAGATCACCTTTAATCCACACACAGAGACGCATACAAAGCTCTCCCGCGCCCTCCATTTGGGAAATCGGACCTGATTCCTGTTTACAAGCAAAAACTCAAAGAGGAAGTACCAGGGACGCTCTCAATATGGAAGTGGTCAGATTTACATTTACATTTTACATTTACGTCATTTAGCAGACGCTCTTATCCAGAGCGACTTACAGTTAATGAGTGCATACATTTTTCATACTGGCCACCCGTGGGAATCGAACCCACAACCCTGGCGTTGCAAGCGCCATGCTCTACCAACTGAGCTACAAGAGGCCAGATGAAGCGGATGCTAAGCTGAAGGACTGTTCGAAAACATGATGTTTGCAATAAGACACTAAAGTAAAACTGTACAAATTTTGGCAAAGAAATTAACTTAATGTCCTTAATACAAAGCGTTATGTTTGGGGCAAATCCAACACAACAAAAATAATAATGTGCAAATATAGTACAATCTAGGTGTGCAAAGCTCACTGCCAAAGGTGACTCTAACATGTATTGACTCGGGGTTGATATTTATGTAATCAAGACATGCTAGTGTTTTATTTGTCATGTATTTTTTTGGGGCACATGTTCGAATTTTTCGTCCACTTGAATGTTAGAGTATTTTATGTAGAGTGTTGACAAAAAAATGACAATTAAATCCATTTTAATCCCTCTTTGTAACACAACAAAATGTGAAAAAAGTCAAGGGGTGTGAATACTTTCTGAATGCACTGTAATGCAGTAATTTAGACCAGGGCCCAAAGGGTACACTATGTAGGGAATAGGGTGCAATTTGGAATGCAGCCCCAGTCAGCATTGATTGGAGCCATCAACCTTGTTAGTGAAAAGGAAAAGGGGATACCTAGTCAGTTGCACAACTGAATGCATTCAACCGAAATGTGTTTCAACTGAATGCATTCAACCCTTCTGAATCAGAGAGGTGCGGGAGGCTGCCTTAATCGACATCCACGTCATTGGCACCCAGGGAGCTGTTGTTATTGGGGGTTAACTGCTCAAGGGCAGAACATCAGATATTTTCACCTTGCCGGATCGGGGATTAGTTTACTGGCCCACCGCTCTTAACCGCTAGACTACCTGTTATACCCCCATGTCTCTCATAGAGCTACATTCTGATTCATGTCATTCTGGTCTCGTCCTCAAAGTGAAGCAGTACTTGTCATTATTGTGTTGGGCTAAGGAGGAGGGTTTATCCATAGAATTACGCATATAACTAATTTAATAGGATCTCTGTGGGTGTATCTAGCTAAATCTTACCTTACTATAGCTTCTCGCATAGAACATCAGCATTTTTCAAATTCTCAGACGTAGACTTGAAGTCTAGAACAGACTCGGTGTAGTTGTTGTTGTGAAGTAAATATGGAAGAGTGTTATGATATACAGTATATCTTAGAAAACTTTTGCTTGCTAATCAGAGACTAAGTGGGACTATGAAAATGCAGAGACATGCTTTTGGTGATATTTATAACCAAAAGAATTGGGCCATGCATCACCGTTACTCAAATCTCTGGCCTGTTATAGGGCTTCCTGTTATGCATTTATAACATTTTGTTAAGGATAGATGAAGAACAACTTCTACATTTGGAAAGAAAACTTCTACATTTGAAGAGAAACATATACTTTAAAAAAGTCTCTGCTAGCTTCAGTCTTTTTCTATATGTCATGATGATCGTTTTAGATTCACCAAAGGGTCTAGCCTACTTCCGCTAGTAGGTAGATGATTCATGTGAGAATGTTCCCAATGGTGTAACCTGGCTGTGTCAAGTAAGAGTGATTCAGGGTGTCACTCAGAGTGGGAATGCTGATAGGATCAGTAATGTAATCGTATTCATTATGATCTAAAAGGCAACACTGATTCTAGAACAGCACTCCTACTTAGAGATGTCTAGGTCCCTGGCACTCTCAGCCCTCACTATGGAGTAGCTTCTATCTACTTGATGGAAACTGTAATACCCCCCAACCAGTTGCTGGTTGTGGACCAAGTCAAAGTGATGGCTGCTGTCCACTTGTGCTGACATGGCAGGCTTTATCAATTCAGGCACCCATGGGAGCAGAGGGGAGAGGGTTGTGCTGTTATTGTCTCTGACTGAAAATGAGCCGTTTGAAACTCACCTCCTCCACACTGCCAAGGTGAATGAGAGTGACAAAAAGCTGACAAAGACTTCCTGTACTCGTCCTCTCTGTGGACAAACAATTATCTATTTCACTCTCTCCTCATTGTGAATCATTTTACAGAGCATATTAACACCTATTATAGTGGAGTGCACTTCCTAGTGTTTATTGCAGATTTGCTAATAAGTAACATGGCTTCCCTGTGCAGACTTCCCTGTGCAGCAATACTCTCTCACTGTCAGAGGTCACAATATGCACTCAGTGTTGCATTACCATATCCTATATCAGTAGACAGGCCAGGGTAAGCATTGTACACTACTTGGAGTACAATATATTTTATTTTCCAAGATGTACAATAACTGACTATGAATAATTTCAAAGTTACAAGTTACTTCTTTCAACCATTTTAATTAAGTCATGAAATAACAACAATTGCATATATATCCTGATCATGTTTTATTTGATATCTCACCCTTTACTGTAAATTAAGCAGAAAAAGCTAAAGGAAGTGATTGGGTGTTAGATGTGAGTAATACTGGGGTTAAAGGTCACTGAATACACTCCTGTCTCTGTCTCAGCTCTGACTCAAGACAAGTCCCCTATCGGTTTCAATGTGTCTATTCTTTCTGACCTCGTCATAGTATTCAGTCTGAGTGGGGTTATTTCACAATACACAACCAAACACGCTGTTCAGTTTCCTGTGTGTCACCGGAGCATGACAATGGAATTCATTCCCCAACTTGGTAATTGTGGTCAGCTGGTCAGTCACACTGTAGTTACTATATCACAAAATGAGAATACAAAAGTATTTGACAGTATTGTGCACAACTTCATTATATTCTTATGTAGGCTACACATTACACAACATTCGTTTGAAATTCTGAACTGACAGAGTTTATGACGTGTGTGACACATTGGCCATTCATTGCTACAACACCTCTCCCGATGCAAACAGACTAATTGCAACAACAGCTGATGCCCGCAGTAGACTTCCATACATACTACTAAATGTGCGTCTCTGAGTGTAGCACTCCTCCTAAAGGTCATTTCTTCTGTTGTATCTTTCAGGGGTTTTTCAGCAAACGACTGAAGGGATCCATAAATCGGACGAAGAGTCAGACCAAACTGGACCGCAACACCAGCTTCAGACTGCCCTCCCTGAGACCTTCAGAAAATGACAGGTAGGCTATTCAATTCTCTCCTTCCATTTTTTTTATGTTTCAATACCAAGGAACTGAATCGCCAATTCACATCTCTTTTCTTAATTCTGCCTCTCTGGGCGTGGATTTAGGCCTATCTACTGATCCTAATTTGGTTATTCATTTTTCACCACAAAAGTATATCCTCTTAGATGATATTGTAGATGTAAAAATGTGGAAGAGAGGCGGGGGGGCAGTGACAAGTCAAAGTAATGACAGAGGGAGCATCTCCTGTGGTGTATTGTGTGTAACACAAAGTGCAGGTACTACATTAATATGTAATAACCTGTCTGAAGTGTGGGGTTCGTTACCAAGGTGCTAGTTTATTATACAGCGTTTGTACAGCCTTTTAAGAAGATAGCCACATCTTACCTTATGTTCCCATCCATTATCAGTCCTGAGTGCTATTCTGAGAAATCTGTCTTTGATTCCAGGATTATAAGCCTGTGAAATAATGGCCTTACTGTAAGCCTGACTGCTTTCTTCCCTCCCTCGCATGCAGTCAATATAATAGGACAATTGGGCATTGTTGTATCCGTGCATGTGAGACCAAGACCAAGCCAACTGTAATCCACAGTGAGCTTCCTCCCTCCGTTGGTCTGAACAGTGGGCTAATGTTGATATATTTAGGGTTCTCAACGCTCCAGTGAGTTTGCTGAACAGTATTGGTTTGAGGAGGGGGCAGAGGGGCAGCAGACAGTAGGCAATGTCAGTGAGTTGCCTGCCCCCCTCCTTCCTCCTCCCCCTGCGGGTCCCTGTCTGGCGGGCTTCCTCTTTGCTCTGAGGGGCGGTTTTCCCCATGCTGGGCTCTTTGCTGCCTGCCGAGGGCCGTGCCGACCGTGTTGATATGCAGCTCCATGCGCCAGGCAAAATATGCAGCGTCTACCATTACACAGATACTCACTCACTCTCTGACTGTTCTGTGCAGATTGTAGACTACAGAGTTAGTGATGAACAGGCTAGCGGCCATATAAATAAGTACTGTATCTATCTATGCTAGTGGCTGAGCGGGTAGCTGGTAGGCTACGTGCGTATAGTACTGTCAGCTTTCCTCAGGCTGACATGACATCTGTCACTGTGTAGGGCTCTACGCCCACGTGGATAACATCTGCCTGCCCCGTGAGCCAGAGTAGTGAAAGTGGACTTTAGAGGCATTAGAGCCAGAAGGAGTCAGGGATAATGGTCAGAGCTGCAGCCGCTCTCTGCCATGGTTAACTAATGTGAGTGACTCCCAGTAAGGACCATACAACAGCATCAGCATGGCCACCATGGCGACCAGCGCCTCCTCTTCACTCTTAAGGAGAGCCAGGAATTCCCACCTGCCCAAGTCGCTGCGCTTCAGGTAGGGCAGCATCATATAAATAGAATTAGAACTCATTCTAGTTCTGTGGACAGCATGTCTCCTACTTGTTAGAGAACGATGAGCTGAATGACCAACGCATTGTTTGCTACATTTATAATGATCTGATTGGTGACAATCCTGTCTTTCGTTTTTATTTGATGTAGATGGGACATGTTTCCTCTGCTGTAAAATGTGATGTTTTGTTGTTTCATACAATAATACACTGTTTTTGTCCCATCTGAACTGGCTAAATTATAGAAATTAACTGCAGTTACAACATGCAATATCATGCCAGGTTGAATTGTATGATCAGTTCAGAATCAGATGGCAGCATTTTGTTAATTCAAGGACCTGGTCACAGCTGAGTAAGTTCCTATCCTTCCTCCCAGCAGACGTATCGGGTTTCCATCCTAATGCAGTGGACATGGTGAGGACTGGCAATCTGATTAGATTTCAAAAGACTTTGAGGACGGGGGGCAGTAGCACGTTTTTAAAGAGATCAGACTCCCTCAGCAATTTACTTAAGTGTTTGCGTTTTGCTTTTTCACCACAAGTGCTCTGCAATGAATTTCAGTATGTAGGCTAGTTATCCACTTCTGTACTGATACAAACACTGATTGTTCTTGACATAATGCATCTTTCTCATGTTCTCATAAACAGTGTTATGAGACGGCTCAAATCACAACAAATTACCTTACCGCCCACAATGTGTTTACGACTTTAGCCTAACTCTGACGCACAGGTACAGATCTGAATAAATACCCAGGTTGTGAATCACATAAGTAGCATTGTTGAATGTATGCATCTGTGGCATTGGTTGGCTGGATTGAGAGGGCAGATCTGTTTCTGCCCAAATCCTTAATCTGGGTTTACATAATTCAGTTGGCGAGGAGGGTTGAGATGGCTGATGCCAGGAGATTACGGGGGCACATACAGTGAGGGGAAAAAAGTATTTGATCCCCTGCTGATTTTGTACGTTTGCCCACTGACAAAGACATGATCAGTCTATACTTTTAATGGTAGGTTTATTTGAACAGTGAGAGACAGAATAACAACAAAAAAATGCATGTCAAAGATGTTAAAAATTGATTTACATTTTAATGAGGGAAATAAGTATTTGACCCCTCTGCAAAACATGACTTAGTACTTGGTGGCAAAACCCTTGTTGGCAATCACAGAGGTCAGAAGTTTCTTGTAATTGGCCACCAGGTTTGCACACATCTCAGGAGGGATTTTGTTCCACTCCTCTTTGCAGATCTTCTCCAAGTCATTAAGGTTTCAAGGCTGATGTTTGGCAACTCGAACATTCAGCTCCCTCCACATATTTTCTATGGGATTAAGGTCTGGAGACTGGCTAGGCCACTCCAGGACCTTAATGTGCTTCTTCTTGAGCCACTCCTTTGTTGCCTTGGCCGTGTGTTTTGGGTCATTGTCATGCTGGAATACACATCCACGACCCATTTTCAATGCCCTGGCTGAGGGAAGGAGGTTCTCACCCAAGATTTGACGATACATGGCCCCGTCCATCGTCCCTTTGATGCGGTGAAGTTGTCCTGTCCCCTTAGCAGAAAAACACCCACAAAGCATAATGTTTCCACCTCCATGTTTGACGGTGGGGATGGTGTTCTTGGGGTCATAGGCAGCATTCCTCCTCCTCCAAACACGGCGAGTTGAGTTGATGCCAAAGAGCTCGATTTTGGTCTCATCTGACCACAACACTTTCACCCAGTTCTCCTCTGAATCATTCAGATGTTCTTTGGCAAACTTCAGATGGCCCTGTATATGTGCTTTCTTGAGCAGGGGGACCTTGCGGGCGCTGCAGGATTTCAGTCCTTCACGGCGTAGTGTGTTACCAATTGTTTTCTTGGTGACTATGGTCCCAGCTGCCTTGAGATCATTGACAAGATCCTCCCGTGTAGTTCTGGGCTGATTCCTCACCGTTCTCATGATCATTGCAACTCCACGAGGTGAGATCTTGCATGGAGCCCCAGGCCGAGGGAGATTGACAGTTATTTTGTGTTTCTTCCATTCGCGAATAATCGCACCAACTGTTGTCACCTTCTCACCAAGCTGCTTGGCGATGGTCTTGTAGCCCATTCCAGCCTTGTGTAGGTCTACAATCTTGTCCCTGACATCCTTGGAGAGCTCTTTGGTCTTGGCCATGGTGGAGAGTTTGGAATCTGATTGATTGATTGCTTCTGTGGACAGGTGTCTTTTATACAGGTAACAAGCTGAGATTAGGAGCACTCCCTTTAAGAGTATGCTCCTAATCTCAGCTCGTTACCTGTATAAAAGACACATGGGAGCCAGAAATCTTTCTGATTGAGAGGGGGTCAAATACTTATTTCCCTCATTAAAATGCAAATCAATTTATAACATTTTTTACATAAATTTTTCTGGATTTTTTTGTTATTCTGTCTCTCACTGTTCAAATAAACCTACCATTAAAATTATAGACTGATAATTTCTTTGTCAGTGGGCAAACGTACAAAATCAGCAGGGGATCAATTACTTTTTTCCCTCACTGTATGCCCTCTGTAGAAGACACAGGCACAGTGGATGGATGTGTGCTAGTTAATAGTGAGGCGGCTGCAGACCTGAAAGAAGAGGACAGAGGAGTCTGCTTTCTCTCTCCTCTGTTACTACTCCTATTACTTGTTCCAATGGGTAGGCATCAGCACATCCCACTCCCTTGTGTGTGAGATTTTGTGTGATCCCCTTTATAAGCTTCTGTTTTTCAAAATATCAGTCTAAAGACTACCTGGTTGATAACTTTGTTGTGACACTGTACAAGCAAGATAACGAGGAGAAAATGACATCCCTTTATTTATGGGGAACTCAAGCAATCATGCTTTGTAAACATGTTGCATGTTGCAAATCTGAGATGTAGGGTGTGTTCCAAATGGAACCCTATTCAGCCTAGTGGTTGGAGCGTTGGGCCAGTAACCGAAAGGTTGCTGGTTCGAATACCTAAGTCGACAAGGTGAGCAAGACACTTAACCCTAATTTGCTCCAGGTGCGCTGTACTACTATGGCTGACCCTGTAAAACAACACATTTCACTGCACCTATCCCTTGTATGTGACAATAAAACATATATATATATATATATATATATATACACAGTACCAGTCAAAAGTTTGGACACACCTACTCATTCAAGGGTTTTTCTTTATTTTTACTATTTTCTACATTGTAGAATTATAGTGAAGACATCAATGGAAGTCCCAGATTTAACTCTGCTGCAGAGGATAAGTTCATTAAAGTTACCAGCCTCAAAAATTGCAGCCCAAATAAATGCTTCACAGAGTTCAAGTAACACAGACATCTCAACATCAACTGTTCAGAGGGAACTGTGTGTATCAGGCCTTCATGGTCAAATTGCTGCAAAGAAACAACTACTAAAGGACACCAATAAGAAGAAGAGACCTGCTTGGGCCAAGAAACACGATCAATGGACATTAGACCGGTGGACATGTGTCCTTTGGTCTGGAGTCCAATTGGAGATTTTGGGTTCCAACCGCCGTGTCTGTGAACGCGGTGTGGGTGAACGGATGATCTCCGCATGTGTATTTCCCACCATAAAGCATGGAGGAGGAGGTGTTATGGTGTGGCGGTGCTTTGCTGATGAACACTGTCTGTGATTTATTTAGAATTCAAGGCACACTTAACCAGCATGGCTACCACAGCATTCTACAGCGATACACCATCCCATCTGGTTTGGGCTTAGTGGGACTATAATTTGTTTTTCAACAGGACAATGACCCAACACACCTCCAGGCTGTGTAATGGCTATTTTACTACTAAGAAGAAGAGTGATGGAGCGCATTTGCATTTAGCATTAGCATTTGCATTTTGCATTTTAGCAGACGCTCGTATCCAGAGCGACTTACAGTTAGTGAGTGCATCCATTTTTCAGTGCTGCATCAGATGACCTGGCCTCCACAATCCCCCGACCTCAACGCAATTGAGATGGTTTGGGATGAGTCGGACCGCAGAGTGAAGGAAAAGCATCCAACAAGTGCCCAGCATATGTGGGAACTCCTTCAAGACTGTTGGAAAAGCATTCCAGGTGAAGCTGGTTGAGAGAATGCCAAGAGTGTGCAAAGCTGGCTATTTGAAGATTCAGAAATATAAAATATACTTTGATTTGTTTAACACTTTTGTTTACTACGTGATTCCATTCATAGTTTTGATGTCTTCACTATTATTCTGCAATGTAAAAATAAAGAAAAACCCTTGAATGAGTAGGTGTGTCCAAACTTTTGGCCCAAGCAAGTTTCTTCTTCTTATTGGTGTCCTTTAGTAGTGGTTTCTTTGCAGCAATTCGACTATGAAGACCTGATTCACACAGTCTCCTCTGAACAGTTGATGTTGAGATGGGTCTGTTACTTGAACTCTGTGAAGCATGTATTTCGGCTGCAATTTCTGAGGCTGTTAACTCTAATGAACTTATCCCCCACAAATGAACTTTTAAGAAGGCACACCTGTTAATTAAAATGCATTCCAGGTGACTATCTCATGAAGCTGGTTGAGAGAATGCCAAGAGTGTGCGAAGTTGTCATCAAGGCAAAGGGTGGCTATTTGAAGAATCTCAAATCTGAAATATATTTTGATTTGTTTAACACTTTCTTGGTTACTACATGATTCCATATGTGTTATTTCATCGTTTTGATGTTTGCACTATTATTCTACAATGTAAAAAAATTGTAAAAATAAAGAAAAACCCTTTAATGAGTAGGTGTGTCCAAACCTTTGACTACTTTTGACCAGAGCCCTATGAATGTTGTTTATAGTTGTATGTAGGCCATGATGCTTTAACCCAGACATGGGCCACATAATTAATGAAGACTATTTGCCAGGCCATTGTGGCCAATAGCAACAGACAGACAGTTTGTTTTCTCAGCATGGTATCAAGATAACGATGCCTCAATTCTCCAAATGCCTCAAAATACAAACATATTTAATTAAGGCTATGGACATTTAGAATAATTGTTACGTATTTGACACTTTGCAAATTTCCGGTCTGCTGAGCGCAAACTTGAACATTGTGAAAATTCTGTGCAACTTCTGCCGCACGTTTACTGTGAACAATGAGGCTGTACCCGCTTTAAGTTAGTTATAACGGTGGCCAAGTAGGCTACTGTGGCTATTTGATCATAATGTAGGCCTATCAGAGTGGCCTACCATAAAAAAACAATGGAGAAAATGCATCCCATAACATGGAAATAGCTGTTCTATCATTCAGCCTACAGTAGCAGCCAATGTGTGGTGTTCAATGTAGGCCTACATTCCATGAGATTTGTAGGAATTGACACAAACCTGTTTATCCACTTGTCCTTCAGACAAGAAACTACTTTACAAAATACAATTCATTATTATTCCCATACCATTATGACAGAGAATCAGACAAATTATGTTACCCTCTGACTATTGGCTACTTAGCTTGTTCAAGCCTGTCTCAATATACAACACTGCCCCAAAATACAACACTGCCCCTTATAGGGAAAAAAATCTTTACCTGACTTGCTTTTCAAAGCTGGCTGGCTGGAAATGCACACGTTTTGTGCTCTTGTAGGAAACAACCACTCCCCCATTGCTGACTAGAAATGAGCTATAACTGGGCTAATAACGCTACAACGCTCGTGACCAATGTTCGCTCTAATTGTTTGGGGCACTGAGCAAATGTTAGGTCTTGTGTTGCATTGTATTGTGTTGTATGATGCAAGAAACCACTTTACAAAATACAATTCTAATTACCATACAGAGAATGAGATAATGTAGGCTTATTTGCATATTCAAGCCTGTCTCAAAATACAACACTGCCCCTTTAATTAAGACATAAGCTTTTTACCTGACTTGCTTTTCAAAGACGGCTTGAAATGTAGCCTACACGTTTTATGCTCTTGTAGGAAGCAGTAACTCCCCATTGCTGACCTATACTTATCTATAACTGGGCTAATAACTTGCTAACTAGCAAAGAATATCAACAAATGTTCACACGCGTGGCTCTGAACTGATCTGAAAAGTGCATTCATTCACTCACAGGTGATCGAAAGACCCCTCGAGGGCTACCCGCCAATAGAATTCTACTCCTTTGCGCTCTGGCTCTGCCTACAACAATATCACAGACTCAATCTTGGTTTTGGTTTGTTGCATTGAAAAGGGGCTGATATAATGTTTTTTAGATCACAGAAAAAACGTAGATCTATATAGTGCAAACTAATGGGATGAATTCAATGAAGTTCAATCTCTTGCTTCTCTGCGCGGCCTGGCATTTCTTCTGCGCGGCAGTTCTGGAGGAGGTGCGGGAGCTGCGCGCCTGCGCATGAGCGCAGCTTAGAGGAAACATTGCCAATGACCATACTATAGTTAGAATAACACACATCATGTTGAAAGGGCCTCTCAGAAGGGCCTTGAATGTCTCTTCTTTTAACTGTTAGATTTTTCAAACTAAGTTTCCCTAAAATAATGACTAAGATTTGCCTCTCTTCTCAGACAGTCTCCCAGACAAATCTATTGTTATTACGGTATACAGCTTTATTTTATTACAATAATGCCTCCAGACTACTTCCTCCTAAATTGTCTCACTGTCTTCGATAACTCGTAAACACACCATTGATTGTCTGGAATCTCTTACTTTCCTTCAGACACTCGAGGGTGCGCTGTAGTTCAGAATAAACAGCTTTAACTGCTTTCAAATAATCTTTGGTATTAACCACCGCTACTGCCTACTTAGTTGTTTTCTAAAGAATAAATGATTACCAGCAACTGAAAGTGACAACCGATCAGAATCTAATTGCGACGATCTGTCCATGGGAATTACTATCTATCCAAGCAATATTGCTTGTATATTACCCTTGCAAATGAATACATTTCTGAGATATTTCTTGGTGATGTTATACTACCATAGGAAATGCTCATTTACACTGAACAAAAATATTAATGCAATATGCAACAATTTCAAAGATTTGACTGAGTTACAGTTCATATCAGTCAATTGAAATACATTTATTAATCTATGGATTTCACATGACTGGGATTACAGATATGTATCTGTTGGTCACAGATACCTTAAAAAAAGGTAGGGGTGTGGATCAGAAAACCAGTCAGTGTCTGGGGTGACCACCATTTGCCTCATGCAGCGCGACACATCTCCTTCGCATAGAGTTGATCAGGCTGTTGATTGTGGCCTGTGGAATGTTGTCCCACTCCACTTCTATGGCTGTGCGAAGTTGCTGGATATTGGGGGGAACTGGAACACGCTGTCATACACGTAGATCCAGAGCATCCCAAACATGCTCAATGGGTGACACATCTGGTGAGTATACAAGCCATGGAAGAACTGGGACATTTTCAGCTTCCAGGAATTGTGTACAGATCCTTATGATGTGGGGCCGTGCAATATCATGCTGAAAAATCTAAAATGTAAATGAAAGATGTAGTGATGACGGCAGATGAATGGCACAACATCAGGCCTCAGGATCTTGTCACGGTATCTCTGTGCATTCAAATTGCCATCAATAAAATGCAATTGTGTTTGTTGACCATAGCTTATGCCTGCCCATACCATAACCACCATGGGGCACTCTGTTCACAACGTTGACATCAGCAAACCGCTCGCCCACACGACGCCATACATGCTGTCTGCCATCTGCCCGGTACAGTTCAAACCGGGATTCATCCGTGAAGAGCACACTTCTCCAGTGTGCCAGGTTAGCATTTGCCGACTGAAGTCGGTTACGACGCCGACCTGCAGTCAGGTCAAGACCCTGGTGAGGACGACGAGCACGCAGATGACCTTCCTTGAGACGGTTTCTGACAGTTTGCAGATTCTTCAGTTGTGCAAACCCACAGTTTCATCAGCTGTCCGGGTGGCTGGTCTCAGACGATCCTGCAGGTGAAGAAGCGGATGTGGAGGATCTGGAATGGCGTGGTTACACGTGGTCTGCGGTTGTGAGGCCGGTTGGACATACTGCCACATTCTCTAAAATGACGTTGGAGGCGGCTTATGGTAGAGAAATTAACATTAAATTCTCTAGCAACAGCTCTGGTGGACATTCCTGCAATCAGCATGCCAACTGCACGCTCCCTCAAAACTTGAGACATCTGTGGCATTGTGTTGTGTGAAAGAAACTGCACAGTTGAGTGGCCTTTTATTGTCCCCAGCACAAGGTACACCTGTGTTATCAGCTCCATGATATGCCACACCTGTCAGGTGGATGGATTATCTTGGCAAAGGAGAAATGCACACTAACAGGGATGTAAACAAATTTGTGCACAAACTTTTAGAGAAATAATTTCTTTGTGCGTATGGAACATTTCTTGGAGCTTTTACAGTGGGGAAAATAAGTATTTAGTCAGCCACCAATTGTGCAAGTTCTCCTACTTAAAAAGATGAGAGGCCTGTAATTTTCATCATATGTACACGTCAACTATGACAGACAAAATGAGGAAAAAAAATCCAGAAAATCACATTGTAGGATTTGTAATGAATTTATTTGCAAATTATGGTGGAAAATAAGTATTTGGTCAATAACAAAAGTTTCTCAATACTTTGTTATATACCCTTTGTTGGCAATGACACAGGTCAAACGTTTTCTGTAAGTCTTCACAAGGTTTTCACACACTGTTGCTGGTATTTTGGCCCATTCCTCCATGCAGATCTCCTCAAGAGCAGTGATGTTTTGGGGCTGTCGCTAGGCAACACGGACTTTCAACTCCCTCCAAAGATTTTCTATGGGGTTGAGATCTGGAGACTGGCTAGGCCACTCCAGGACCTTGAAATGCTTCTTACGAAGCCACTCCTTTGTTGCCCGGGCGGTGTGTTTGGGATCATTGTCATGCTGAAAGACCCAGCCACGTTTCATCTTCAATGCCCTTGCTGATGGAAGGAGGTTTTCACTCAAAATCTCACGATACATGGCCCCATTCATTCTTTCCTTTACACGGATCAGTCGTCCTGGTCCCATTGCAGAAAAACAGCCCCAAAGCATGATGTTTCCACCCCCATGCTTCACAGTAGGTATGGTGTTCTTTGGATGCAACTCAGCATTCTTTGTCCTCCAAACACGACGAGTTGAGTTTTTACCAAAAAGTTCTATTTTGGTTTCATCTGACCATATGACATTCTCCCAATCCTCTTCTGGATCATCCAAATGCACTCTAGCAAACTTCAGACGGGCCTGGACATGTACTGGCTTAAGCAGGGGGACACGTCTGGCACTGCAGGATTTGAGTCCCTGGCGGCGTAGTGTGTTACTGATGGTAGGCTTTGTTACTTTGGTCCCAGCTCTCTGCAGGTCATTCACTAGGTCCCCCCGTGTGGTTCTGGGATTTTTGCTCACCGTTCTTGTGATAATTTTGACCCCACGGGGTGAGATCTTGCGTGGAGCCCCAGATCGTGGGAGATTATCAGTGGTCTTGTATGTCTTCCATTTCCTAATAATTGCTCCCACAGTTGATTTCTTCAAACCAAGCTGCTTACCTATTGCAGATTCAGTCTTCCCAGCCTGGTGCAGGTCTACAATTTTGTTTCTGGTGTCCTTTGACAGCTCTTTGGTCTTGGCCATAGTGGAGTTTGGAGTGTGACTGTTTGAGGTTGTGGACAGGTGTCTTTTATACTGATAACAAGTTCCATTAATACAGGTAATGAGTGGAGGACAGAGGAGCCTCTTAAAGAAGTTGTTACAGGTCTGTGAGAGCCAGAAATCTTGCTTGTTTGTAGGTGACCAAATACTTATTTTCCACCATAATTTGCAAAGAAATTCATTAAAAATCCTACAATGTGATTTTCTGGATTTTATTTTCTCAATTTGTCTGTCATAGTTGACGTGTACCTATGATGAAAATTACAGGCCTCTCTCTTCTTTTTAAGTGGGAGAACTTGCACAATTGGTGGCTGACTAAATACTTTTTTTCCCCACTGTATATCCTCAACATAAAGACAGGATTTTGAGCATATGTCTTTCCCCTGGGTACGTCACTGAACAAAATGGCCCTCGTCACTAAAGTGAGTTAGATTTCTTGATCCATGATTCTTAAAGTCATCTGACATGTGGCAATTATGTAAGGCTACTGTTATTATATCATAATGTGGCTATTATATTATGCATTTTGTGTTGTGCATTTACAATAAGCATGTGTGATTTGACTGCACATTGTCAGTGATTGTATCATTTGGCTAACGTCCCCCTCTCCTACCATGTGGCTATGATGTAAGGGTCTATTTTTGTGTAATGTATTTTCAATTATCATGCATAAATGCATGAAGCATTTTAATATTGTTGCACTTTGAACATCCAAATGAATGGTTTGCCAGTTGGAACGCATACAGTCCTTTGATAAACAACACCTTCAGCCAGTGACTTCCATTCCCCTCCACTACCTGTAGTGTTGTGCTCTGATGGAAAGCCCAGGTTGTTTTGTCCAAGGTGTTTGTGAGCACAGCAGCACATCCTCCCTCCGTCATCCCCTGCTGCTGCTTTAGAGAGTCAAGTCTCCTTGTAGGGGTATCCCTATGGAAACTGTCTCAAGGGGCCAATGGATTGGCCAGCCCAGGTCCCTGTTTACCACCTGTGAATCAAAGGAAATCTGCAGCAAGGAAGAGGGAAGGGCATTGGAGCTGCTGGTCCTTCTTCACTTTTCAGCATTTCATGGGGGTAGAATGAGGAGTTGAGACTGTATGGTAGAGGCAGTAGAACCAAGGACAGCGGACTAGAACAGAGAAGAGAAGAGAACCGTCCCAAGGGAATGTATTGAGCTACAGAGAGAGAGATGCTCTGGGGATATTCCTTCAAGTGCCTGTTTAGATGTTTTTCGTAGGTATTACTGCTTCCTGAAATGTTCTAGTGAGTGGTTGGATGCTGGAATAGTACGGACAAAGCTTGAATTCCTTACAGAAAGACAACAGCTGGTTGTGTTGTGTTTTGGGATAACATGAAGGCTACAGCAGCGATTCTCAACTGGTGGGTGGGGAGGTTTTGAGTGGTTCGCGGGTGTCTGAAAAAAATGTAAACATTTAAAATACTCCAGTCTGAACTTAAATGACTTTAACCAGGTAGAAGGTGTGTAGAAATGATAATGAACTTACATTTTTAAAAATAATTTAATCTCTGAACAACTTTTCTTCAATCACAGTATTTTCAATATAGAGCTATTAGCAGCGCCATTTTGGTTGATTTTGTGGTCTCAAACCAGAGTTTATTAACATTCTTCATCAAGAATATGGGCAACATTTTATTATTGACAATGAAAGAGGTGGGAAGGTTGTTCCCTTGTCATATAATTGCTCCATTTACTATCAATATAGCATTACAAATAGTTTTCCATATTGTATTTTTGTCAATTATTTTTCACGACAACCTGGTTCAATTTGTATCCCGAGGCAAAACCAGTTGATAACCATTGGGCTACAGTATATACATTTTTCAGGGTCCTCCAACTTTCTGTATTGTTTTAGTGGCCATTTCATTTCTGTGGTATACCTAGTGAATAATACTAGTCAGTGGAGGAGTCCAAGGTCTTTTGACACATTTTGGGATTTAGAGCCTCAGAGCAGGTTTCTCTGCCATGCTTTGAATGCTCTGAATGAAAAAGTTATGTTGTAAACTAACCAACTGCCATGTTTTTGTCTTCCAGATCCCGAGGGCTTCCTAAGTTAAAGGAGTCGTGTTCTCACGAGTCCCTGCTCAGTCCGGGCAGTGCAGTAGAAACCCTGGATCTGGGAATGGAGGAAGATGTCTATGTCAAACCTCTCCATAGTAGCATATTGGGACAGGAGTTCTGCTTCGAGGTAAGTCTAAACAGTAGTTAGTCTTGTTCGACTACTTTGATAAAACTTTAAGCTTTTAGCAAGTAATGGAAGAGCACATCCCTGATGATGCATAGTGAAAAGAGCACACTGACAAATTGCAAATTATTATACTACTTGGTTCATTTAGCTTACTGGTTTAACAAGGCTATAGTGTTACATTTTGTTACAGAACAATATTACTGTATGCTCTTTGTCAATGATAAAAAATCACAGGTGATGTAATGCATTAGAAGGCCTTGTTAGTTATGCTCCTCATGCTTCTGTATCTGTCTTTTCCAGGTGACCTACTCAGGGGGAAGTAAGTGTTTCAGCTGCTCCTCAGCCGCAGAGAGAGACAAATGGATGGAGAACCTGAGGAGGACGGTCCAGCCAAACAAGGTGAGACCAGAGACATGGGCCGCATCCCAAATCGCACCATATTCCCTTCAAAAGTAGTGCACTATGTAGGAAATAGGGTGCCAATTGGGACATGGACATATTGATGCCATTTACATTGTCCTAATGCTAGTTAATGCTACAGTGACCTCCTCTACTTCACTTCTTGTTCTTTTCAATTTCATCTTAACAATGTCAGTTTAGGGTCACTGTTCCCCCCATTGGATTCAGTACTCATTTGATATCTTCCCAGGACAATTGCCGACGAGCTGAGAATGTCCTCCGGCTATGGATCATCGAGGCCAAGGACCTGCCTCCCAAGAAGAAGTACTTCTGTGAACTGTGCCTGGATGACATTCTATACGCCCGCACCACCAGCAAAACCCGGGCTGACTGCTTGTTCTGGGGGGAACACTTTGAGTTCTACAGCCTGCCGTCTGTCCGTAGCATCACCGTGCACATCTACAAGGACGTGGACAAGAAGAAGAAGAAGGACAAGAACAACTACGTGGGCTTGGTCAACATCCCCATCGGGGGGGTGACAGGAAGGCAGTTTGTGGAGAAGTGGTACCCCGTCAGCACCCCCACCACCAGCAAGGGTAAAGGTGGAGGCCCCTCCATTCGGATCAAGTCCCGCTTCCAGACCATCTCCATCCTGCCCATGGAGCAGTATAAGGAGTTTGCAGAGTTCATCACTAACAACTACACCATGCTGTGTTCTGTTCTGGAGCCAGTGATCAGTGTGAAGAACAAGGAGGAGATGGCCTGTGCCCTGGTTCACATCCTACAGAGCACCGGACGGGCCAAGGTAATCAAATCAAATCAAATTGTATTTGTCTCATGCACCGAATACAACCTTACCGTGAAATGCTTACTTACAAGCCCTTACCCAACAATGCAGTTCACGAAATAGAGTTAAGAAATATTTACTAAATAAACTAAAGAAAAAATAAAACACAATAAAATAACAATACCGAGGCTATATACAGGGGGTACTGGTACCAAGTCAATGTGCGGGGGTACAGGTTAGTCGAGGTAATTTGTACATGTAGGTAGGGGTAAAGTGACTGCATAGATAATAAACAGCAAGTAGCAGCAGTGTAAAATCAAAGGGGGGGGGTGTCAATGTAAATAGTCCACGTGGCCATTTGATTAATTGTTCAGCAGTCTTATGGCTTGGGGGTAGAAGCTGTTAAGGAGCCTTTTGGACCTAGACTTGGCGCTCCGGTACCGCTTGCCGTGCGGTAGCAGAGAGAACAGTCTATGACATGGGTGACTGGAGTCTTTGACAATTTTTGGGGCCTTCCTCTGACACCACCTAGTATATAGGTCCTGGATGGCAGGAAGCTTGGCCCCGGCCACTAGGAGCGCCGCTTCTGGATGAGCATTTTCTTGTTTGCTTATGGCCTTATACAGCTCGTTGAGTGTGGTCTTAGTGCCAGCATCGGTTTGTGGTGGTAAATAGACGGCTACGAAATATATAGATGAAAACTCTCTTGGTAGATAGACTTTAGAAACTCCATCTCTGCTCTGTACAGACTACTTCTCTTCATCTTTTTCATAACACTGTGCCTCCCACCCTACACTGACTATAACTTCCCCTGGGGATCCCATTCAGTTGTATCCATCTATTTGCCCACATTAATATTAGCACATTTAGTACATTAAGTACCGTACTGCAGTTTTTCTCAGTAAATTAAAGTTCCCTCTCCTCTTCCCCAGGACTTCCTGACAGATCTAGTGATGTCCGAGGTGGACCGCTGTGCAGACCACGACGTCTTGATCTTCAGAGAGAACACGCTGGCCACCAAGGCCATAGAGGAGTACCTCAAACTGGTGGGACAGAAGTACCTGTATGACGCACTAGGTGAGAGGGCAGGGTTTATAATAGATGTTCTTATGATCCAGTTCAAATTCAGTGGAAGCTCTTGATGTATGACAGTTATTGATTGCTGAATTGGCAGGTTTTCAAACTATTCCATGGGTTTTTGTCAATGACGTATTACTGCTCTTCAACCAAGTCTGTGTTTTCTCCTGGGTACTGTAGGAGAGTTCATCAAAGCGTTGTATGAGTCAGATGAGAACTGTGAGGTGGACCCGGGGAAGTGCTCCAGCAGTGAACTCCCTGAGCACCAGAGCAACCTGAAGATGTGCTGCGAGCTGGCCTTCTGCAAGATCATTAACTCCTACTGGTGAGATCAGTCCCTCACCACTCTAAAGGCTAAAGCCACATAGCCTGCTTCTTAAGGCCAATGCCACTGAGCCAGCCAGAGGGCCTTTAATCGCCTCCACTTAGGGCAAGTCCTAGCTCCTTGAAAATGGGTAGCTATAACATTATGTGAATAGAGAAGAATATCTGCAGCACTGCAGAACTTGAAACACAGATTTGGGGGACTTGTTTTCTTGTTGTTCTGAAAGAGATTGTCATAGAGTTGGATGTTACAGTACATCTGGTTTGGCTTTAATAGTGACGATGTATAGTGCATGCTGCCCCCTGGTGGTAATATGTGGAGGTGCATGTGTGTGCATATTTTCTGATTCATACCACGGTCGTCTCACTCTGGAAACCAGCGTCTTAACCATTAGACCAAGAGGAAATTCTCTCTTGGGCCGAGTGTTACACTAGCAGGCAGGGCTACCTCATCATGAGCTTGTGATTCCTAATCATCTCCGCTACACTGACTCTTCCCTCTGCCTCCCCAGTGTGTTCCCACGGGAGCTGAAGGAAGTGTTTGCAGCGTGGAAGCAGCAGTGTCTGTCCCGAGGGAACCAGGACATCAGCAAGCGCCTCATCAGCGCCTCCCTGTTCCTCCGCTTCCTCTGTCCCGCCATCATGTCTCCCTCGCTCTTCAGCCTCATGCAGGAGTACCCCGACGACCGCACCTCCCGTACCCTCACCCTCATCGCCAAGGTCATTCAGAACCTGGCCAACTTCGCCAAGTAGGTTTCTCCTGTTGCTGGTGGTGTATGGTAGATCACGGCTACGTGTCAAACGGCACCCTATAGTGCACTACTTTTGACCAGGCCCTGGCTCTGCTCAAGTGTAGTGCACTGTATAGGGAATAAGGTAGAATTTCGTTAAGAATTTCACCTTTGCAAATTTACAAGACAATCAAAGCATGTCGCGCTAAGTAGAAAGTGCATCATATGAACGTAAGTGCATCATATGAACGTTTGTTATTGTCTGTTTCCAAGGTTTGGCAACAAAGAGGAGTACATGGCGTTCATGAACGACTTCCTGGAGCACGAATGGGCAGGTATGATGCGTTTCCTCACGGAGGTCTCCAACCCAGAGACCATCTCCAACACGCCAGGGTTCGAAGGTTACATCGACCTTGGCCGAGAGCTGTCGGTCCTCCACTCGCTCCTGTGGGACGTGGTGTCCCAGTTGGACAAGGTAAGGAAGACCTTGGAGTGGGCAGCAATGATACCTCTGTTAACAGATGTTGCAAAAACAATTTGTATCCCAAATGGCACCCTGTTCCCTTTATTGTGAACTACTTTTGACCAGGGCCCATAAGGCATTACATAGGGAATTTAGTGCAATTTGGGACACATACATATATTTTGTAAGCCTAAAGCTGAAATGGAAAGCGCTGTACTTTAATGAGATGCTAAGGTTCCTAATTGTGGCCCTTAGTAGGTGTCTGTTGAGTTAAGAGGCTCTGTTGGCCAAATTTTTTTTTGTCATTTTAGTAGACGCTCTTATCCAGAGCGACTTACAGTTAGTGAGTGCATAAATTTTTCATAATGGCCCCCCGTGGGAATCGAACCCACAACCCTGGCGTTGTAAGCGCCATGCTATACCAACTGAGCTACAGGAGGCCGTGGTGTGTAGTGGGTTTGGGTCTGCCCATCTGATTGTGTGTTATCATCCTGACAAAGATATTTCTTTCCCTACTCTGTTTGACAACTTCGTTTGCAGGCATGGAGTGGATCTTTACAGCTGCTATGAATCTAAATGCACAAATGTATGATTCTGAATAATGCTCATGTAATCATGTTTTTATGGATGAAATGTGGGTAGATGGGTCTAATTAGATCACTGTGACATAATCATATAATTGTGCAATGATCTAATAATATTAAGTGGCGTTAGGACAAAAGTCTGCCTAATCAGCTTACACCACATTGACTTACATCTCAAGCCTGCCATGGCTAAAGGGTTAGTTAATTACTTTATGAGAAGAGGGAAACTGAATTACTGTCCAGGATGTTTTTACCCCACATTTTTCACTAGGATGTTCCTTAATGTCTGTCGAGTCTAGAAGTCTATGTTTAAGGTTTTAAAGCAGGGTAACATCACCCACTCATTCACTGTTCCCACCAATCCCCCTAACCTTAATCCCGCAAGGCTCCTGCGCTGTACATCAGTTTATTTTAATGCATGTTTATTCTACTGCATTATTTACACCCCTCTGCACAAATGTTCTGTGAACCCTAGTTGTTTTACAGCATCCATTTTTAAATCCTTCCTGCATCTTACCTCACAACCTTCTGTATTAGTTTGCCCTTGATGCATGTTTGCTGTGTTTGGAATGTCTGTTATTTAGTGGCATGTGTTGCAATTTTTTTTTACCCCAAACTTATTAATTTCCTTATGTTTTTTCCTCTTATGTATGTACTTTCTTTTCTTTTGCCTCTACGCCCACCCCTTCCCTCTTTTCCACTCCGCCCGACACACACACTTGGTGTCTTCATGGTTACGCTGTCCCGCCAATGCCAATGCATTATGGTGCTTCTCATTGCCAACCAACCAACAAATCCAACCCATCAATCTTCCACCCTCCAAACCTTCTGCCATCCTCATTCCACAATGCTGGGTGACGTGGCCTGGTGCTGCTGCCCCTCGTCTTGGTAACGTGCAACCCAGGGTGAAAATTCCTTCCTGCAGGCGACCATAGCCAAGCTGGGCCCCCTGCCCCGCATCCTGGGGGACATAGCCCGCTCTCTGTCCAGCCCCACGCCCATCCAGCAGCAGCTCCGACGCTTCCAGGACTACAGCTCCTCACACAACATCAGCGGCAGCGTCTCCTCAGGCCTGCAGAGGATATTCGAAGATCCAGCTGACCGGTAGGGCTCCAAAATGGTCACAACTGTCGCAATGGTATTGTCAATCACCACCCAGCCATGCATGGCGTAATTATGTGGTGTAGTTCTGGCTGTAGTTCTTTTCAAAGGCTGTTTCATCTGGTGATTTTGTGCCAGTTATCCTAGAGATTCATACTTAAAGTTGAAAGTATTTGATCCCCTGCTGATTTTGTACGTTTGCCCACTGACAAAGAAATGATCAGTCTATAATTTTAATGGTAGGTTTATTTGAACAGTGAGAGACAGAATAACAACAACAAAATCCAGAAAAACGCATGTCAAAAATGTTATAAATTGATTTGCATTTTATTGAGGGAAATAAGTATTTGACCCCCTCTCAATCAGAATGACTTCTGGCTCCCAGATGTCTTTTATACAGGTAACTGAGATTAGGAGCACACTCTTAAAGGGAGTGCTCCTAATCTCAGCTTGTTAGCTGTATAAAAGACACCTGTCCACAGAAGCAATCAATCAATCAGATTCCAAACTCTCCACCATGGCCAAGACCAAAGAGCTCTCCAAGGCTGTCAGGGACAAAATTGTAGACCTACACTAGGCTGGAATGGGCTACAAGACCATCGCCAAGCAGCTTGGTGATAAGGTGACAACAGTTGGTGCGATTATTCGCAAATGGAAGAAACACAAAATAACTGTCATTCTCCCTCGGCCTGGGGCTCCATGCAAGATCTCACCTCGTGGAGTTGCAATGATCATGAGAACGGTGAGGAATCAGCCCAGAACTACACGGGAGGATCTTGTCAATGATCTCAAGGCAGCTGGGACCATAGTCACCAAGAAAACAATTGGTAACACACTACGCCGTGAAGGACTGAAAACCTGCAGCGCCCGCAAGGTCCCCCTGCTCAAGAAAGCACATATACAGGGCCGTCTGAAGTTTGCCAATCAACATCTGAATGATTCAGAGGAGAACTGGGTGAAAGTGTTGTGGTCAGATGAGACCAAAATCGAGCTCTTTGGCATCAACTCAACTCGCCGTGTTTGGAGGAGGAGGAATGCTGCCTATGACCCCAAGAACACCATCCCCACCGTCAAACTTGGAGGTGGAAACATTATGCTTTGGGGGTGTTTTTCTGCTAAGGGGACAGGACAACTTCACCGCATCAAAGGGGCGATGGACGGGGCCATGTACAGTCAAATCTTGGGTGAGAACCTCCTTCCCTCAGCTAGGGCATTGAAAATGGGTCGTGGATGGGTATTCCAGCATGACAATGACCCAAAACACACGGCCAAGGCAACAAAGGAGTGGCTCGAGAAGAAGAACATTAACGTCCTGGAGTGGCCTAGCCAGTCTCCAGACCTTAATCCCATAGAAAATCTGTGGAGGGAGCTGAAGGTTAGAGTTGCCAAACGTCAGCCTCGAAACCTTAATGACTTGGAGAAGATCTGCAAAGAGGAGTGGAACAAAATCCCTCCTGAGATGTGTGCAAACCTGGTGGGCAACTACAAGAAACGTCTGACCTCTGTGATTGCCAACAAGGGTTTTGCCACCAAGTACTAAGTCATGTTTTGCAGAGGGGTCAAATACTTATTTCCCTCATTAAAATGCAAATCAATTTATAAAATTTTTGACATGCGTTTTTCTGGATTTTGTTGTTGTTATTCTGTCTCTCACTGTTCAAATAAACCTACCTATAAAATTATAGACTGATCATGTCTTTGTCAGTGGGCAAACGTACAAAATCAGGGGATCAAATACTTTTTTCCCTCACTGTAGATAGGTTGTTTTATGTTGTATTGATTTGGGAGATGACTCGCTGCTAGGATCTTTCTAAATAATGCTGCAGCTAGAGACTTCCTATTTTTAGCGGCTGTAGAGGTAATGAGGGAATCCAAGGTTTTTCCGGCTTTAAAGTGAATCTGTGTAAACATTGGTGCTAAAGGAACATTGAGTAAACTTAGCCTACATTTCATGTTGTGTGTCCAAAATGGAACCCTATTTCCTAGGCATTTATAGTGCACTAATTTTGACCAGACCCCTATGGGCCCTGTTCAAAAGTAGTGCGCTACATAGGGAATATGATGCCATTTGGGATGCACCCATGTTCTTGGTCTGGTCCTAGCTTTGGTTTCAGAACTCTCTGTTAATGTGTTGTGTGTTTACTGTCCACGTCTTGCAGTGAGGTTCGCAGCATCAAGTCCCCAGTCCAGGAGCATGTTATGAACGGCCTTCACCGGGGGAAGCACCCTCTCCTGGGCCAGCAGTCATCCGGCCATAGCATGAGCTTCTCGGACAAGGAGGAGCGAGAGAACCTCCAGCCCAACGGACGCAGCATCTCCCTGGTGGACCTCCAGGACTCTCACATGGTCCAGAGTGGCCAGGGACCCCTCCCCCTCCACGAGGCTCCCCCCAAGCTGAGCAGGGTGGGATCCCAGGTCTCTATAGGACACCCCCATCAGGCTACCACCCCACAGTCACACCAAGCCCTCCACCAGAAGCCCTCGTTACAGGACAACCTCCCCCAGAGTGCACCCCAGGTGCGTCGGCCCCTGCCCTCTTCCCTCAGCCAGCAGAGGAGCCGCCAGCCCCTCTCTTTCCAAAACCCTGTCTATCACCTTAGCAACCTGACACAACAACAACCCACAGCAGTACACTCCACAACACACTCGGTCCACTCCCACTCAGTGCACTCCCTGCAGCCGGACTCCAGCTCGGAGAACCTGAGCACCGATAGCTCCCGCAGCCACAGCAACTCGGAGGTAGAGTTTGGAGACGGGAGCCAGGGGGGGAAAGGGGGCAGGGTCCCGTCCAATAGCAGTCTGGAGGAGTTCAGCCGGCGGAGTACGCAGAGCGAAGACTGCTCGACGCCACACCGCCACAACCTGCCAGACCACCACGGAGGAGCCCACGCTGTGGCAGTGCCCAGGCAAAGCAGCACGGGCACGGCTCACATCGTGAGGGTGGAGCAGCAGAGCCGCAGCGGGGGGAGTGGTGGGGCCCGGACTCCCCGCTCCCTGCCCCATAGCGCCTCTCTGCGCAGCAGCAGCTCCATCAACACAGAGCCCATGCCAATCCCCATCCAGGCCCAGCCAGGCACAGGAGGCCGCTCACACCAACAGTCCACCTGCTCCATGGAGAGCCCTGTGCCCCCCGTCAGGAGCGTGGCCAAGCAGCAGATGCCACAGCAGGTACTGGTCTGGCATACAGAACTACACTTAGATTCACACACACTCCGCTCCGACACCCCAATATAATATCTGTTATTATTATCAAGAAATAAAGTGTGGCCAAAGTCATGTTGGGCACTCAGGGTAGATTTGATTGACATACAGGTATCTGTGGTGGTGCAGGTGGCGTCGCCGGTAGAGCCAGTCACCATGTCACCGGTAGAGAGGACAGCGGCGTGGGTACTGAATAACGGACAGTTCGATGACGAGGAGGAGGCGGCCCCAGCAGATCAGAACAGGGAGGACAGCAGGCACGCCAAGAAGGTAAAGACACAGCCAGAGTCTCAGTCAATGAAGGTTTGATGGCCAAAACATTTTCAAGTTAAATGGATGTCTTCTTCATAATCATCCAAGTCAACACATCAGCCTGCTAAGCCAGTGTAGGCAGACAGAGGTAGTCTTAGTCATGACTAACACCATCATCCCCTCCCACTCACCTTCCCTCTCTCTCCCTTTCCCTCTCTCTCCCTTTCCCTCTCTCTCTCTTTCCCTCTCTATCGTTCTCTCTTTCCCCCTGTCTCTCTCTTTCCCTCTTTCTCTCTGTCTCTCTCACCTCTCTCCCGCCAGTATGAACAGGAAATCTCCAAGCTGAAGGAACGCCTGCGGGTGTCTAGTCGGTGTCTGGAGGAGTACGAGAGACGTCTGCTGGCCCAGGAGCAGCAGATGCAGAAACTGCTGATGGAGTACAAGGCCCGCCTGGAGGACAGTGAGGAGAGGCTGCGGCGGCAGCAGGAGGAGAAGGACAACCAGATGAAGAGCATCATCTGCAGGTAGGCATTACTAGGCAACCCTCTGGAAGATTTTGCTTAAAACAAACCCGTACTCCAGTCTGAATTCCTTTGAATGAATGATTGATTGAATGAAAGCAAAATCACAGATTGACTGCTTAATGGCATGCCTATAGTGTCTTGTATAGGTGTGTCCCGAATGGCACTCCATTCCCTATAGATTCGGAAAGTATTCAGACTCATTTACTTTTTCCACATTTTGTTACGTTACAGCCTTATTCTAAAATGGATTAAATTATTTTTTTCCTCATCAATCTACACACAATACCCCATAATGACAAAGCGAAAACAGTTTTTTTAGAAATACCTTATTTACATAAGTATTCAGACCCTTTGCTATGAGACTCGAAATTGAGCTCAGGTGCATCCTGTTTCCATTGATCATCCTTGAGATGTTTCTACAACTTCATTGTGCAGTCCACCTGTGGTAAATTCAATTGATTGGACATGATTTGGAAAGGCACGCACCTGTCTATATAAGGTCTCACAGTTGACAGTGCATGTCAGAGCAAAAACCAAGCCATGAGGTCGAAGGAATTATCCGTAGAGCTCCGGGACAGGATTGTGTCGAGGAACAGATCTGGGGAAGGGTACCAAAACAATTCTGCAGCATTGAAGGTCCCCAAGAACACAGTGGCCTCCATCATTGTTAAATGGAAGAAGTTTGGAACCACCAAGACTCTTCATAGAGCTGGCCGCCCGGCCAAACTGAGCAATCGGGGGAGAAGGGCCTTGGTCAGGGAGGTGACCAAGAACCCGATGGTCACTTTGACAGAGCTCTAGAGTTCCTCTGTGGAGCTGGGAGAACCCTCCAGAAGGACAACCATCTCTGCAGCACTCCACCAATCAGGCCTTTATGGTAGAGTGGCTAGACGGAAGCCACTCCTCAGTAAAAGGCACATGACAGCCTGCTTGGAGTTTGCCAAAAGGCACCTAATGGACTCTCAAACGATGAGAAACAAGATTCTCTGGTCTGATGAAACCAAGATTGAACTCTTTGGCCTGAATGCCAAGCATCACATCTGGAGGAAACCTGGCACCATCCCTACGGTGAAGCATGGTGGTGGCAGCATCATGCTGTGGGGATGTTTTTCAGCGGCAGGGACTGGGAGACTAGTCAGGATCGAGGAAAAGATGAACGGAGCAGATCCTTGATGAAAACTTGCTCAGGACCTCAGACTGGGGCGACGGTTCACCTTCCAACAGGACAACGACCCTAAGCACACAGCCAAGACAACACAGGAGTGGCTTCAGTACAAGTCTCTCAATGTCCTTGAGTGGCCCAGCCAGAGCCCGGACTTGAACCCGATCGAACATCTCTGGAGAGACCTGAAAATAGCTGTGCAGCGAACACTCCCCATCCAACCTGACAGAGCTTGAGAGGATCTGCAGAGAAGAATGGGAGAAACTCCCCAAATACAGATGTGCCAAGCTTGTAGCGTCATAACCAAGAAGACTCGAGGCTGTAATCGCTGCCAAAGGTGCTTCAACAAAGTACTGAGTAAAGGGTCTGAATACTTATGTAAATGTGATATTTCCATATTTTTTGGGGTTGATACATTTGCAAAAATTTCTTCAAACCTGGTTTTGCTCTGTCATTATGGAGTATTGTGTGTAGATTGATGAGGGGAAAAAAACAATTTAATACATTTTAGAATAAGACTGTAACGTAACAAAATGTGGAAAAAGTCAAGGGGTCTGAATACTTTCCGAATGCACTACTTTTGACCAGGGTCTACCATTTGAGATGCAGCCTAACCTCCCCTTTTGGTTTGTATGCGTCTGAGATGGCTATACTCTGTCACTCACAGGTTAATTGCTGTAGAGGAGGAGCTGAAGAGAGACCATTCAGAGATGCAGGCTGTCATAGACGCCAAGCAGAAGATCATTGATGCACAGGTATAGTAACAGAAAACGCTACACATATTGTCTGTACTCTATGTATGGCTTGAATAAATCCAATACTCAGACCCATTCAGTTCTATCCCCTTATGAGTAATATTCTACTCTCCATGGAAACAGATTCATTCAGTCTTACATTTGGGGTTGCTTACCTTGTCTTATATCCTTGACAGCTTTTCAGAGCAATCTTGAATGCCATAGATAGTCTCACCAGAGGCACCTAACATTTGCTCTCGCTTTTTGGGCTTTTAACAGGGCCTGTTTATCAGCTCGTTGTCTCTGAAGACTTTCTCTTTGAGAAGGTCATACTTTACGGCAACAGATCTTCAATACCAAGCAGGGAAAGAGGAGAAGAAAATAGGATCAATGTTAACTATTATTTCACTATCAAAATACATATTTTAAATGCTTTGACTTTTTAAAATGTATACTTTCTTTACAATGTTATCTTTTGGTTAGGGGAGATATAATTGACACAAAATGTAAAAGTATAGACTTGACATGTAGTTAGTTCTATATTCACATCCAACCAACACTTTTCAAACTTCGGAGGGGGATGGAGTTCTTGTGCTCTGCATTGGAGCAGAGAACCTGTTGACGTGCTCACTATCACTGTTCCACTGAATTCCAGGTCAATAAATCAACAGAGGTAATCCAAGCAGGCAAGTAAACCAGTCAGTCTTCAGGTTTTGGAAAATGCCGGCAAGCCTTGTATGAGCACAACCACACTTGACACCCATTCCTGCCCTCGCTGCTAAAAAAAGTCCTTATTCGTGTGCAGACTAGAGGTTGTTTGGCTGTTGTTGTTTGGCATTGCTTTTGAAATTGGATTTTGGATTTCCCCATCAGTCAGAATATAAATATAAAACATAATCTAATACATTTTCATTACTTTTGCAGTTTGAGTACACCCCTGCTGCTACAATTAATGTTTCTCCATTGCCAATGTCAATATCATCTCAGACACAAAGTGGCAATCATAGTTAAAAATCAACAATATTATAGTATGAAAATGTCTCAGTCACAAGATGGAATTAGGGCTGGAAATATTAAGCATCTACATTCAGATTTGTTTACCATTTCTGTTGCTCCAGGAATGTGTGTTTTGAGTTGCGCTCTTAGCAGATGATAGCTTTGGCTGCTTTTCACCCTGCCCTCCTAATTTAGGTACTGTCACTCCCAAAACCCATTTCCCTTTACCTCCTCTCACTCAGTTCTGCAGGAACAGTGCCATGACCTGGCTAGATGAGGTTGCCCATGGCTAGTGACAAAACTTTATTTTGTTGCTGATTTCAAGGAGGGCAAACTGAATCAGTTTTCCTCCATCTAAGATGGCATCACGTTGGTGGTAATTGGGGGGAACGATCAAATATATAATGTACAGGACAGTTCAGTCCAAGGGTTATGCATGGAATTGGGATTTCAGTAAAACAATTTAATGATAGTTGAATACAAATAATCCTCGTGTTTACAAAATATAAATGTACAAATGTTTTCAGTTGAAAGCCATGCCACTGTTGACATGTAGGCTCTGTGAATGGTATACGAATGGATATATACAGTATCTCACAAAAGTGAGTACACCCCTCACATTTTTGTAAATATTTGAGTATACAGTGGGGAGAACAAGTATTTGATACACTGTCGATTTTGCAGGTTTTCCTACTTACAAAGCATGTAGAGGTCTTTTTGTCATAGGTGCACTTCAACTGTGAGAGACGGAATCTAAAACAAAAATCCAGAAAATCACATTGTATGATTTTTAAGTAATTAATTTGCATTTTATTGCATGACATACGTTTTTGATCACCTACCAACCATTAACAATTCTGGCTGTCACGATCGTCGAAGGAGGAGGACCAAGGCGCAGCGTGATATTCGTACATCTTATTTTATTAAGTGCACACACGACAAACAAAACAACAAACGATACGTGCAGTCCAACGGTACTAACACAAAACAAAAGGAACAAGATCCCACAAAGAACATATGAAAACAGCCTACCTAAGTATGGCTCCCAATCAGAGACAACGAGCAACAGCTGCCTCTGATTGGGAACCACCCTGCCCAACATAGATCTATACGATCTAGAACAGAAACCAAAACATAGAAAACACAACATAGAAGCTACATAGTGAAAACTAAACATAGAAAATCCACACCCTGGCTCAACATTTCAGAGTCCCCAGAGCCAGGGCGTGACAGTACCCCCCCCCCCCCAAAGGCGCGGACTGCGACCGCGCCTAAACATAAACCGAACAGGGGAGGGCTGGGTGGGCATTCCTCCTCGGAGGCGGTTCCGGCTCCGGGCTTGACCACCACCCTCCAACAATCCCCCCGTAGCGCCCCTGGTCCGGTCCCGCTGGCTGGAACTGGACTGGACATCGTAGGAGCGGATTGCTTAGGCTCCGGTGTGGAGCAGCTGACCGGTACCTGACCAGGCACCGGTGACCCAGGCACGGGTTGTGCCGGACTGACGACGCGCACCCCTGGCTTGGTGCGTGGAGCAGGAACGGGCCGGACCGGGCTGACGATGTGCACCCCTGGCTTGGTGCGTGGAGCAGGAACGGGCCGGACCGGGCTGACGATGCGCACCCCTGGCTTGGTGCGGGGAGCAGAAACGGGCCGTACCGGGCTGACGACGCGCACCCCTGGTTTGGTGCGTGGAGCAGGAACGGGCCGGACCGGGCTGACGATGCGCACCCCTGGCTTGGTGCGTGGAGTAGGAACGGGCCTGACCGGGCTGACCATGCGCACCCCTGGCTTGGTGCGGGGAACAGGAACGGGCCGTACCGGGCTGACGATGCGCACCCCTGGCTTGGTGCGTGGAGCAGGAACGGGCCGTACCAGCCTGACGATGAGCACCATTAGCTTGGTGCGGGGAGCAGGAACAGGCCGGGCCGGGCTGGCAACGCGCACCATTGGCTTGGTGCGGGGAGCAGGTACAGGCCGGGCCGGGCTGGCGACGCGCACCATTGGCTTGGTGCGGGGAGCAGGAACAGGCCGGGCCGGGCTGGCGACGCGCACCATTAGCTTGGTGCGGGGAGCAGGAACAGGCCGGGCCGGGCTGGCGACGCGCACCATTAGCTTGGTGCGGGGAGCAGGAACAGGCCGGGCCAGGCTGGCAACGCGCACCATTGGCTTGGTGCGGGGAGCAGGAACAGGCCGGGCCGGGCCGGGCTGGCGACGCGCACCGTAGGCTTGGTGCGAGGGGCAGGAACAGGCCGAGCCGGGCTGGCGACGCGCACCGTAGGCTTGGTGCGAGGGACAGGAACAGGCCGGACCGTACTGGGAACACACACCACTGGCCTTAAACGGGGATCAGGAACGGGCCGGACCGGACTGGCCATACACCTCAGTACCTCTCGCCGTGCCTCTACATCTTCCTTCCCTTTTCTCACCAATGGCTCCCGTAACCCGGTGGCCTTCTCTCCTCGTCCACGAACTCGCCCCTTCTCTGCCTCCAGCAGCCCCGTCGTCCATGCCATGTGCCCCCCCCTAAAAAATGTTTGGGGGTGCCTCTCGCCTGTCCGACCACGGCCCGGTTGGCGCCGCTTCTCCTCTCCTGCCTGGGTCTCCCCCTTCATAGCCCTCCGGCAACGGACGGCCTCCTCCTCCGTAATCTGCCCCCAACCGAGGAGGACATCTACTAATGTTACCTCCTGCGTGTGCTCCTGGACACGCTGCTTGGTCCTGGTGTGGTGGGATCTTCTGTCACGATCGTCGAAGGAGGAGGACCAAGGCGCAGCGTGATATTCGTACATCTTATTTTATTAAGTGCACACACGACAAACAGAACAACAAACGATACGTGAAATCCAACGGTACTAACACAAACCAAAAGGAACAAGATCCCACAAAGAACATATGAAAACAGCCTACCTAAGTATGGCTCCCAATCAGAGACAACGAGCAACAGCTGCCTCTGATTGGGAACCACCCTGCCCAACATAGATCTATACGATCTAGAACAGAAACCAAAACATAGAAAACACAACATAGAAGCTACATAGTGAAAACTAAACATAGAAAATCCACACCCTGGCTCAACATTTCAGAGTCCCCAGAGCCAGGGCGTGACACAGACCAGTTAGTTTTTCTTTAAGAAGCCCTCCTGTTCTCCACTCATTACCTGTATTAACTGCACCTGTTTGAACTCGTTACCTGTATAAAAGACACCTGTCCACACACTCAATCAAACAGACTCCAACCTCTCCACAATGGCCAAGACCAGAGAGCTGTGTAAGGACATCAGAGATAAAATTGTAGACCTGCACAAGGCTGTGATGGGCTACAGGACAATAGGCAAGCAGCTTGGTGAGAAGGCAACAACTGTTGGCGCAATTATTAGAAAATGGAAGAAGTTCAAGATGACGGTCAATCACCCTTGGTCTGGGGCTCCATGCAAGATCTCACCTCGTGGGGCATCAATGATCATGAGGAAGGTGAGGGATCAGCCCAGAACTACACGGCAGGACCTGGTCAATGACCTGAAGAGAGCTGGGACCACAGTCTCAAAGAAAACCATTAGTAACACACTACGCCGTCAAGGATTAAAATCCTGCAGCGCACGCAAGGTCCCCCTGCTCAAGCCAGCGCATGTCCAGGCCCGTCTGAAGTTTGCCAATGGCCATCTGGATGATCCAGAGGAGGAATGGGAGAAGGTCATGTGGTCTGATGAGACAAAAATTGAGCTTTTTGGTCTAAACTCCACTCGCCGTGTTTGGAGGAAGAAGAAGGATGAGTACAACCCCAAGAACACCATCCCAACCGTGAAGCATGGAGGTGAAAACATCATTCTTTGGGGATGCTTTTCTGCAAAGGGGACAGGACGACTGCACCGTATTGAGGGGAGGATGGATGGGGCCATGTATCGCGAGATCTTGGCCAACAACCTCCTTCCCTCAGTAAGCGCATTGAAGATGGGTCGTGGCTGGGTCTTCCAGCATGACAACGACCCGAAACACACAGCCAGGGCAACTAAGTAGTGGCTCCGTAAGAAGCATCTCAAGGTCATGGAGTGGCCTAGCCAGTCTCCAGACCAGAACCCAATAGAAAATCTTTGGAGGGAGCTGAAAGTCCGTATTGCCCAGCGACAGCCCCGAAACCTGAAGGATCTGGAGAAGGTCTGTATGGAGGAGTGGGCCAAAATATCTGCTGCAGTGTGTGCAAACCTAGTCAAGACCTACAGGAAACGTATGATCTCTGTAATTGCAAACAAAGGTTTCTGTACCAAATATTAAGTTCTGCTTTTCTTATGTCATGCAATAAAATGCAAATTAATTACTTAAAAATCATACAATGTGATTTTCTGGATTTTTGTTTTAGATTCCGTCTCTCACAGTTGAAGTGTACCTATGATAAAAATTACAGACCTCTACATGCTTTGTAAGTAGGAAAACCTGCAAAATCGGCAGTGTATCAAATACTTGTTCTCCCCACTGTATCTTTTCATCTGACAACACTGAAGAAATGACACTTTGCTACAATGTAAAGTAGTGTGTGTACAGCTTGTATAACAGTATACATTTGCTGTCCCCTCAAAATAACTCAACACACAGCCATTAATGTCTAAACCGCTGGCAACAAAAGTGAGCTGCAGCACGGTGGCCAAGACCATACAGCGGTTTAACAGGACAGGTTCCACTCAGAACAGGCCTCGCCATGGTCAACCAAAGAAGTTGAGTGCACGTGCTCAGTGTCATATCCAGAGGTTGTCTTTGGGAAATAGACGTATGAGTGCTGCCAGCATTGCTGCAGAGGTTGAAGGGGTGGGGGGTCAGCCTGTCAGTGCTCAGACCATACGCCGCACACTGCATCAAATTGGTCTGCATGGCTGTCGTCCCAGAAGGAAGCCTCTTCTAAAGATGATGCACAAGAAAGCCCACAAAAAGTTTGCTGAAGACAAGCAGACTAAGGACATGGATTACTGGAACCATGTCCTGTGGTCTGATGAGACCAAGATAAACTTATTTGGTTCAGATGGTGTCAAGCGTGTGTGGTGGCAACCAGGTGAGGAGTACAAAGACAAGTGTGTCTTACCTACAGTCAAGCATGGTGGTGGGAGTGTCATGGTCTGGGGCTGCATGAGTGCTGCCGGCACTGGGGAGCTACAGTTCATTGAGGGAACCATGAATGCCAACGTGTACTGTGACATACTGAAGCAGAGCATGATCCCCTCCCTTCGGAGACTGGGCCGCAGAGCAGTATTCCAACATGATAACGACCCCAAACACACCTCCAAGACGACCACTGCCTTGCTAAAGAAGCTGAGGGTAAAGGTGATGGTCTCCAGACCTAAACCCTATTGAGCATCTGTGGGGCATCCTCAAACGGAAGGTGGAGGAGTGCAAGGTCTCTAACATCCACCAGCTCTGTGATGTCGTCATGGAGGAGTGGAAGAGGACTCCAGTGGCAACCTGTGAAGCTCTGGTGAACTCCATGCCCAAGAGGGTTAAGGCAGTGCTCGAAAATGATGGTGGCCACACAAAATATTGACACTTTGGGCCCAATTTAGACATTTTCACTTAGGGGTGTACTCACTTTTGTTGCCAGCAGTTTAGACATTAATGGCTGTGTGTTGTGTTATTTTGAGGGGACAGCAAATGTACACTGTTATACAAGCTGTACACTCACTACTTTACATTGTAGCAAAGTGTCATTTCTTCAGTGTTGTCACATGAAAAGATATACTCAAATATTTACAAAAATGTGAGGGGTGTACTCACTTTTGTGAGATACTGTATATACAGTACCAGTCAAAAGTTTGGACTCCTACTCATTCCAGGGTTTTTCTTTATTTTTACTATTTTCTACATTGTAGAATAATAGTGAAGACATCAAAACTATGAAATAACACATATGGAATCATGTAGTAAACCAAAAAGGTGTTAAACAAATCAAAATATATTTTATAGTTGAGATTCTTCAATGTAAACACCCTTTGCCTTGATGACAGCTTTGCACACTCTTGGCATTCTCTAAACCAGCTTCATGATGTAGTCACCTGGAATGCATTTTAAATTAACAGGTGTGCCTTGTTAAAAGTTAATTTGTGGAATTTCTTTCCTTAATGTGTTTGAGCCAATCAGTTGTGTTGTGACAAGGTAGGGGGTGGTATACAGAAGATAGCCCTATTTGGTAAAAGACCAAGTACATATTATGGCAAGAACAGCTCAAATAAGCAAAGAGAAACGACAGTCCATCATTACTTTATGACATGAAGGTCAGTCAATACGGAAAATGTCAAGAACTTTGAAAGTTTCTTCAAGTGCAGTCGCAAAAACCATCAAGCTCTATGATGAAACTGGATCTCATGGGACCGCCACAGGAAAGGAAGACCCAGAGTTACCTCTGCTGCAGAGGATAAGTTCATTACAGTTAACTGCACCTGAGATTGCAGCCCAAATAAATTATTCACAGAGTTCAAGTAAAAGACACATCTCAATATCAACTGTTCAGAGGAGACTGCGTGAATCAGGCCTTCATGGTCGAATTGCTACAAAGAAACCACTACTAAATGACACCAATAAGAAGAAGATGGATATAAGACCGGTGGAAATCTGTCCTTTGGTCTGATGAGTCCAAATGTGCGATTTTTGGTTCCAACCGCCGTGTCTTTGTGAGACGCAGAGTAGGTGAACGGATGATCTCCGTATGTGTGGTTCCCACTGTGAAGCATGGAGGAGGAGGTGTGATGGTGTGGGGGTGCTTTGCTGGTGACACTGTCTGTGTGATTTATTTAGAATTCAAGGCACACTTAACCATCATGGCTACCACAGCATTCTGCAGCGATACGCCATCCCATCTGGTTTGCGCTTAGTGGGACTATCATTTGTTTTTCAACAGGACAATGACCCAAAACACACCTCCAGGTTGTGTAAGGGCTATTTTACCAAGGAGGAGAGTTATGGAGTGCTGCATCAGGTGACCTGGCATCCACAATCACTTGACCTCAACCCAATTGAGATGGTCTGGGATGAGTTGGGCCGCAGAGTGAAGGAAAAGCAGCCAACAAGTGCGCATCATATGTGGGAACTCCTTCAAGACTGTTGGAAAAGCATTCCTCATGAAGCTGGTTGAGAGAATGCCAAGAGTGTGCAAAGCTGTCATCAAGGCAAAGGGTGGCTACTTTGAAGAATCTCAACTATATTTTGATTTGTTTAACACTTTTTTGGTTACTACATGATTCCATATGTGTTATTTCATAGTTTTGATGGCTTCACTATTATTCTACAATGTAGAAAATAGTAAAAATAAAGAAAAACCCTTGAATGAGTAGGTGTGTCCAAACGTTTGACTGGTACTATATATATACAGTGAGGGAAAAAAGTATTTAATCCCCTGCTGATTTTGTAAGTTTGCCCACTGACAAAGACATGATCAGTCTATAATTTTAATGGTAGGTTTATTTGAACAGTGAGAGACAGAATAACAACAACAAAATCCAGAAAAATGCATGTCAAAGATGTTATAAATTGATTTGCATTTTAATGAGGGAAATAAGTATTTGACCCCTCTGCAAAACATGACTTAGTACTTGGTGGCAAAACCCTTGTTGGCAATCACAGAGGTCAGACGTTTCTTGTAGTTGGCCACCAGGTTTGCACACATCTCAGGAGGGATTTTGTTCCACTCCTCTTTGCAGATCTTCTCCAAGTCATTAAGGTTTCGAGGCTGACGTTTGGCAACTCGAACCTTCAGCTCCCTCCACAGATTTTCTATGGGATTAAGGTCTGGAGACTGGCTAGGCCACTCCAGGACCTTAATGTGCTTCTTCTTGAGCCACTCCTTTGTTGCCTTGGCCGTGTGTTTTGGGTCATTGTCATGCTGGAATACACATCCACGACCCATTTTCAATGCCCTGGCTGAGGGAAGGAGGTTCTCACCCAAGATTTGACGGTACATGGCCCCGTCCATCGTCCCTTTGATGCGGTGAAGTTGTCCTGTCCCCTTAGCAGAAAAACACCCCCAAAGCATAATGTTTCCACCTCCATGTTTGATGTGGGGATGGTGTTCTTGGGGTCATAAGCAGCATTCCTCCTCTTCCAAACACGGCGAGTTGAGTTGATACCAAAGAGCTCGATTTTGGTCTCATCTGACCACAACACTTTCACCCAGTTTTCTTCTGAATCATTCAGATTTTCATTGGCAAACTTCAGACGGCCCTGTATATGTGCTTTCTTGAGCAGGTGAACCTTGCGGGCGCTGCAGGATTTCAGTCCTTCACGGCGTAGTGTGTTACCAATTGTTTTCTTGGTGACTATGGTCCCAGCTGCCTTGAAATCATTGACAAGATCCTCCCGTGTAGTTCTGGGCTGATTCCTCACCGTTCCCATGATCATTGCAACTCCACGAGGTTAGATCTTGCATGGAGCCCTAGGCCGAGGGAGATTGACAGTTATTTTGTGTTTCTTCCATTTGCGAATAATCGCACCAACTGTTGTCACCTTCTCACCAAGCTGCTTGGCGATGGTCTTGTAGGTCTACAATCTTGTCCCTGACATCCTTGGAGAGCTCTTTGGTCTTGGCCATGGTGGAGAGTTTGGAATCTGATTGATTGATTGCTTCTGTGGACAGGTGTCTTTTATACAGGTAACAAGCTGTGATTAGGAGCACTCCCTTTAAGAGTGTGCTCCTAATCTCAGCTCGTTACCTATATAAAAGACACCTGGGAGCCAGAAATCTTTCTGATTGAGAGGGGGTCAAATACTTATTTCCCTCATTAAAATGCAAATCAATTTATAAAATTGTTGTTGTTATTCTGTCTCTCACTGTTCAAATAAACCTACCATTAAAATTATAGACTGATCATTTCTTTGTCAGTGGGCAAACGTATAAAATCAGTAGGGGATCAAATACTTTTTTCCCTCACTGTATATATATATATATATATATATATAAATAACACATTTACAAAAAACAAACATGATGCAATGCTTGGATATTAGTTTTTTGTTTAATCTAGAATTTTGGCTGCTAAACAAAAACTATTTCAGTGAGGTATATTTCAGACTTCGCTTGTGATATTTGAATTTCACCATCTACAGAGTAGTAATCATCCTTTAGCTTACCCTGCTAATCCTTTCTCCACTGTAAAGTGAACGTTTTCCTCCTTTTCTCACTCCCCCCTCTTTCCCTTCTCCTCTCTTTCTCTCTTCAGGAGAAGAGGATAAGCTCCCTGGATGCAGCCAACTCTCGGCTAATGAGTGCCCTGACACAGGTGAAGGAGCGCTATAGCATGCAGAACCTGCGCAACGGCCTCTCGCCAACCAACCCCACAAAACTGTCAATCACTGAGAACGGAGAGTTCAAAAACAGCAGCTGCTGATCGAGTCGGACAGTGTGAGATGGTGTGATGGTCACACTCTCTCCATGCACACAGACCAATTACCTGTGGCTCTACAAGGAATGTCTAGATATTAATGTAAATAGCTTGTATCTTGTATTGGTTGTGTACAGAGATGATACTGGAAAGACGTGTCTTTTGAAGACGTGAACAGGGGGATCAACTGTTGTCATCAAATAGCGAATTGGTGTTTTATAAATGACATTATTCCCATATGCAGTCAAATGCAGTTTTAAAAAGATTTTAAGGATTCCCTAATTAAGAGATGATATATTGAGGAGATGTACATATCATAAAGGGGGTTTGTTGAAATAAAAGCACATAGTGAGCAGTTATAGCTCTAAAAACATATTGAAGTCATGATAGGAATGGAAGGGCAAAATAAACCAAAAACCGTTTTATGCACTCTGTTTTTCTAACTCTACTTTTTTATATTTTTTAACTTCTGTTTTTGTCGTCTTAAACTAGGGGCTGCATTGGTTTTGATTGGCTGATTTTGAGTATATTGGGACTGCTGCTTGCCCATTGTTAGCCGAAACCATAGGTCTTTGAGTTCAGGTTCTTATGGCCTACTGGATCTTCAAAAAAGAGTGCTCACTCCACCACCTTGCCACAGAATAGCAAATGTTATTTATTTATGTACCTTCTACTGGCAAGCCTTCAAGATCCCAAGAGAAGATTTTGTACAATTGTCAATTTAATGTCAATAACTACTGTTTAAAATAGTCTGTTGTTTTCTGTTCTCACCCATCCAGCCCCCCCCCACACACACACTTTTTTACACTTTTTTGTTGCACAAACAAATTGTATGAACTGGTTTATGTCAATGATAGCGTATCTGTCAGTTGTTGAGAATAAAAACTGCCTGTAACATTGTGTATGTTTTGCATTTATGACTTTTATATGGTTTGTAATTCAACTACAGTGCTAAAGCACATTCATATTTGCAGTGCTTGACTTGGGCAGGAGCTCACATGAGCTGAGTACCAGCACCTCAAATGTTCTACTGCTTGAGCTCCTGCACCTAAATATAAACAGGAGCTGCACCTATTTCAGTTCAAATCAAGATCTGCATATTTGTGGAGTCATTACATAAATCCGCTTTATAAAGATTATTTTGTTATTGTTACTTTGTAAAATGTGACTTGATCAGTGAACTACAGTTAGTAGAACGGGGTATGAGAAAAATACTTGTAAGCTTGACGCGAAGGCCTCAATTACCGATGAAAGGTGGTAGGTTTAAGCCTAGGCAGACGGGTTGCTACCCACGTTGCCCTAGATCTGGGATTTTCAGTCCGGCAACTGGTCATCATTCTATCCATAGATTCTAATTACTAATTATATGGTTCTACCGCGAGGGGGCTCTCTGGCTGGCTGTCTCGTATGCGCCCCAGGCAACGATTATCTCCTCTTCGTCTCTGGCCCCCAGTTAGTGCTCTCATGTCAAGGTTTGTTTTTGCTAGCCGGCTCGTTTGAAGAAAGTCTTTGGTGGAGCTCGAGTGGGTAAAATGAGCAAAGTACAAATACAATTTGTACTAATTGTGTCAAATGTATTTAGCTAGCTGGTCATGTCTATAATTTCCATGCAACATTCGTTAACGTTAGTACAGAAGCTTAAGCTTCTAAACGAGCTAACGTTACCCACTTGATTTAGCTAGCTAGTTTTTTGTGTATCTTTCAGCTAATGTTAGCCTAGCTGGCTAGGTAGGTATACACTTTTTTTTGTCTGACCTAGCTGACTATGCATGCATTTTAGTTGACACTACTGCCAGTTAGGATTTGGCAAAAAAATGTAAATACCATTGCATTTGATTTAGCCAGCGTCGAATCAATGAATACACGTTAACGGGAATCCACATCTGGTCAACAAACGTTAGCTAGCTAAGCTAGCACCCTGAGCTTGGATTGTCTGGTGTTATCAACAAAGTAATTGAGTCATTGTTGATACAAGTCAGTACGTTAGCTGAGTTTACTCAACTCCACATTACAGGGATCTAAACTAAAACTCATTAGTCAGTTTCTTTGAATAAAGTCAGAACGTAAGAGGCGAAGCGAGAGGGTTTACTCCGCCCAACATCTGTCCACGAAAATGAGTTATTTTTGTATGGACGTCAGTGTCGAATTTGGTAATAGCTTATTTGATCGAATTGAGGTTTCGTAATTGTTAGGTTGTTACAAATGCACTGTAATAAGTGGACGCACGTGGCATTTCGTCAACTTTGGAAGAAACTACTTTATAACGGAGTTGTGCCTGTTCACACGCGTATCTGCCCTCTCATTGGCTAGAATGGTCCCACCTGATCTCGCCCACCATCGTCTGCCTTCCATCGTTGAGAACACGTATTTCCATTATTAGAGCAGTCACTCGACTATCTTGTCAATATAATAGACCATCTTTGATAAAGTCGATGGTCTTGTTCGACATTGCAGGCGACTGCCGACTGACTGATCTACAAAGAACAATGCATCATAAATAAGTAATTATTATTTGCATGTCAGTCACAATTTACCTATGAACCTTACGGTTTTGATCCACTCGAACACGGCCAATTAATCCCTGTTCCAACAGAGATCCACAAATCCGCCATGGCAGACATCAAGAACTTCCTGTATGCTTGGTGTGGGAAGAAGAAACTTACTCCCAGCTATGACATTCGAGCAGCTGGAAACAAAAACCGACATAAGTTTCTGTGTGAGGTCAGTTTTATACTTTAAAATGTGTCTGCATCAGCAATGATCGGGTAAATAACATCTAACAACATTCCAATTTTGACATATATTATTCCTCTTCCAAGGTACATATTGAGGGATTCAACTACACTGGAATGGGAAACTCCACCAATAAGAAGGATGCCCAGGCAAATGCTGCCAGAGACTTTGTGAATTATCTTGTCCGAGCTGGAGAAATGAATGCAGCTGAAGTCCCAACCCTTGGGGTCAGCTATTAACATATTTCACCTAATGCTTTTTTATAATTCAAGATAAAACATTTTGTCATGCACACGTTGATACCGTATAAAAAAATAATTTTCATATTAACAGGCAAGTGTACCTGACTTAAGTGAGCCTAACTGTGGGGGAGGTTGAGGGGGTGATGGAGGCAACGTCGGCTTTGGAAGTCTTCCTCCAAGTGGACCTATCCCACCTCACCTGGTTGTGAAAGCTGAGCAAGGTACTAGACTGACTTCACCAAATGTCTGTATAGTCTATGTTCTGTGAACTCTATTCCTATGGTGTCATAACTAATCTTGTTGTTTAGCTGTTGCTTCAGCGAATGTACCTTCTGGACCAGTCCCAGGTGTCACTGGTTTGGGATATTCGGGAGGTGGTGGTGGAGGCAATTATTCTGGAGGTGGTGGAAACAGCAATGCGCCGTGGGATCGTGGGGCCAATCTGAAGGACTACTACTCAAAGAGAGATGAGCAAGAGGCGCAGGCGGTAGGACCTGTCAATTCACAATTTTTATAAAGCATTGGGGTTTCATGTCTATCATTAGCTAAATTAATTTGTAACCTAGTTCATCAGGAGTATTGCTCCACCACGTTCATGACAAACCAAATAGTTTAGGCTTAGACATACATTAGTTTTGTGGACTGTATGTTTTTCTGCTGGACTGCTATGGAGACAGAGCCCTCATGGGTGTGCGGTTAACACCTGAGAGATCTCGGTGAAGTCATTTTGGAGCTATTTCTACTTCAACCATAGAGATCCTATAATCCAATAATTAGTTATAGGATTTCTATGACCTCAAACAATACCTAGTACAATATTGATCCTATTTGAATTTAACTGGACTAAGAAATTCTGAATATAAAAGGTAGTGGACATGTGATGCCAGAAGTCACAACCCTACTTGTCAAGACATGTGGCATCCTTTAGGCTGCACTAAAGTTGTCACATGGTTCCATCCACAATGGGGGATGGAATGGGCATAGTATTGTGTGGTTTTGATTTCTGGTGTCATTTGTTCCACTAGGCGTGGGACAGTCTGGCTGAGGTGATAAGGTTGATTGTTGATTGAAGTCTGGCAGAAAAACATGCTGGCTCCCCCAAGTTATCATCAGAGTGGACAATGGACTTGTCAAGCTCCGAGGTCAGTTGGTCCAATGTTTGATACATGTTTTATCAACTGTAAAAGCATGACAGTTACACATCATTCTGAATTCAGATACATTATGCTTAATAACATTATGGATGATGGTGTTTTTTCACTTCTACTTTAGGAGCTTTATTGCTGAGATGCAGTTGTTTGTAAGACAGCTTGGTAGAAGTAAGTGCCAACTTTTTCATTCAACTCAAACTGAATTGTCTATCGGATGTAAACTGCTTTGTTTAAATGTCTGTAGATGAGTCTCAGAAAGATTAGATATTTCCAAGTTCTGGAGAACATGTTAACAATGACAAAGTTGTTTAGTAGCTGTCTGGAGATGACTTCACATGCAGAGTTAAGAAATACATTTTAATTTGTTTTGTAGATATAATTGCCCGTGAGCATGGCTCTAACAAGAAGCTGGCAGCCCAGTCCTCTGCATTGTCTATCGTCCGTCAACTTTACCATCTGGGTGTCATTTAGTCTTATACTCGCAGTACTAAGAAGAAAGAGGGGGAAATTGTAAGTAACGTGTTTTACTGCTGAAAGAATAGTTATTCACTTATTTGGAGTTAGTACATTTGTTTAATAATGACAGGGTCTTTATGTTGTATGCTTTGTGTTTGTTTTAACCTATGGTTGGTTGAACCTTGGTGTCTTCACAGTTGGAGGCTTTTGAGGTGAATGTGGTGGATGATCTGCAACATCAGCTACAGAGTATGGCCCAAGAACTGGGTGTTGTAATTCCACCTCCAGTAAGTCTCATTTATATGATGACATTTATTAACCGTTATACCGTTTCAATTAGTATCCATCTTGTTGCACAGAAAAGCAAAGTACTGTATGTGATTGATATGAGTGTGACCTTGATTATGAGGATTATGAGTTAAACATTTTGCCTGTCCCCAGCCACCTGATCCAAGTACCCCAGTGTCCCTAGTCCAAGGGAAGATGGCTGTGTTTGAGCCCTCCCAGAGACAGAGCTTGGCCGGGGTGGTGCCCTGGTCCCATCCGCAAGTCAACTGGAATCCCTGGACCAGCAGCAATATCGACGAGGGCCCACTAGCATTTGTGAGTCAGACTTGTTTCTAGCTGTACATTTACTAAAAGAAATGCAACAATATACAGTGAGGGGAAAAAAGTATTTGATCCCCTGCTGATTTTGTACGTTTGCCCACTGACAAAGAAATGATCAGTCTATAATTTTAATGGTAGGTTTATTTGAACAGTGAGAGACAGAATAACAACAAAAAAATCCAGAAAAACGCATGTAAATTTTTTTATAAATTGATTTGCATTTTAATGAGGGAAATAAGTATTTGACCCCCTCTCAATCAGAAAGATTTCTGGCTCCCAGGTGTCTTTTATATAGGTAACGAGCTGAGATTAGAGTGCTCCTAATCACAGCTTGTTACCTGTATAAAAGATACCTGTCCACAGAAGCAATCAATCAATCAGATTCCAAACTCTCCACCATGGCCAAGACCAAAGAGCTCTCCAAGGATGTCAGGGACAAGATTGTAGACCTACACAAGGCTGGAATGGGCTACAAGACCATCGCCAAGCAGCTTGTTGAGAAGGTGACAACAGTTGGTGCGATTATTCGCAAATGGAAGAAACACAAAAGAACAGTCAATCTCCCTCGGCCTGGGGCGCCATGCAAGATCTCACCTCGTGGAGTTGCAATGATCATGAGAACGGTGAGGAATCAGCCCAGAACTACACGGGAGGATCTTGTCAATGATCTCAAGGCAGCTGGGACCATAGTCACCAAGAAAACAATTGGTAACACACTACGCCGTTAAGGACTGAAATGCCAATGAACATCTGAATGATTCAGACGAGAACTGTTGAAGAGTGTTGTGGTCAGATGAGACCAAAACGGAGCTCTTTGGCATCAACTCAACTCGCCATGTTTGGAGGAGGAGGAATGCTGCCTATGACCCCAAGAACACCATCCCCACCGTCAAACATGGAGGTGGAAACATTATGCCTTGGGGGTGTTTTTCTGCGAAGGGGACAGGACAACTTCACCGCATCAAAGGGACGATGGACCATCATGTACCATCAAATCTTGGGTGAGAACCTCCTTCCCTCAGCCAGGGCATTGAAAATGGGTTGTGGATGCTTATTCCAGCATGACAATGACCCAAAACACACGGCCAAGGCAACAAAGGGGTGTCTCAAGAAGAAGCACATTAAGGTCCTGGAGAGGCCTAGCCAGTCTCCAGACCTTAATCCCATAGAAAATATGTGGAGGGAGCTGAAGATTCGAGTTGCCAAACGTCAGCCTCGAAACCTTAATGACTTGGAGAAGATCTGCAAAGAGGAGTGGGACAAAATCCCTCCTGAGATGTGTGCAAACCTGGTGGCCAACTACAAGAAACATCTGACTTCTGTGATTGCCAACAAGGGTTTTGCCACCAAGTACTAAATCATGTTTTGCAGAGGGGTCAAATATTTATTTCCCTCATTAAAATGCAAATCAATTGATAACATTTTTGACATATGTTTTTCTGTATTTTTTTTTTGTTATTCTGTCTCTCACTGTTCAAATAAACCTACCATTAAAATTATAGACTGATCATGTCTTTGTCAGTGGGCAAACGTACGAAATTAGCAGGGGATCAAATACTTTTTTCCCTCACTTTATCTGTATTTTCTGTGGTTATTCTCTTCATAATGTGTCCTTACTTTCTCTAAAGTAAAGCAGTCTATTTTGTCATGGTAGAGCTGCCATCCTATCTAAAAGTATATAATTCCCATTTCCCCCTAGTGCACCCCAGAGCAAATCAGCGCTGACCTACAACATGAGCTGACCTATCAATTGGAACAAGATCAAAGCCTACAGAAGGTATGTTGTTGCCCTGACTTATTTGCTATTATCTTGATTTAGTGTTAAATGATGTTCTGTTATGTCATGACTGACCTGCAAAAACTTGTCTCCTAGGTTATTGGGGAGCGAGATGGGCTTCCAGTGAAGAAGTTTGAGAGGGAGATCATGTCTGCTGTTCAGGGCAACTCAGTGGTGATCATTCGAGGGGCGACCGGCTGTGGCAAAACCACCCAGGTTCCTCAGTACATCCTGGATCAGTTCATCAAGAGTGGGAGGGCGTCTGACTGTAACATTATTGTAACCCAGGTAAGACTCAAAATGAAATATGCATGGATTTGAATCTCTTCCTTGTTTGTGATAAGATAATGACTTTGTCTTCTTGGGAAACTTTGTTTGGCAGTGTGTAAACGTTAAAAGACATTACAAACAGAAACACAGGTCCAGGACATGTTCTGTTACATGAATGTACATAGAATCTCACGGTGACCTTCTTCCTCAGCCCAGGCGTATCAGTGCAGTGTCTGTGGCAGAGCGTGTTTCCTACGAGAGAGGAGAGGATGTCGGTAAGAGCTGTGGGTACAGCGTCCGCTTTGAATCCATCCTCCCATGACCCCATGCCAGCATCATGTTCTGCACTGTTGGTAAGGGTCTTTCTTATTCTCATTTGTCATTTATACTTTAGGTGTTTTTGTGTAGCTAATACAGCTGGGGTGATAAGCATAGCAGAAGTAGGGCTGTCCCAGACAAAAATAATTATTGGCTGACAGTCTGACAGGAATATGTTTGACTAGTTGTGGAAAATGCTGGAGATCAAGAAAAATAAGGTAAGGAGCAAGCGCTGCGTGCATATTATGTGTGCTAAACAGGTGCTGTTAGATTACAATATAATTTTCTGACCGTTTGAAACAATGTAAACAACACTAAATAAATGATAAGCGACCAGAGTCTGTTGTAAAGCCTTTATTACAGCAAAGATGAAAAACAGTCGTATTCATTTGTGAATGCAATTTCCGAAATGGAGCAGTTTTGCCCTATTTATTCTTTACACTAATTATTCAATGGTCGCTTAATTTTATTTTCAAATTAAAATGCTTGATTGTATTTCAAATCATGAATGACTCGTATGCTGTGTGAAGACATGAATAAATGATTGATTGATACAGTAGCCTATATAAGTATTGAAATATAGGCTTAAATAAGTTACGCTATTAAGACTAAACAGGATGCGCTCTTAGGCCTACAGGTTGATGGTGGTTATACAAGGCTGCTATACTAAGCCTACTAATGATAATAACATTACATATTATTGTGATGATAATGATGATGATAATAACAACAACAATAAGAAGGAGATCAAGGAAAAAGGAGGGTTATTATTATAATAAATATAAACTACCGTTCAAAAGTTAGGGGTCACTTAGAAATGTCCTTGTTTTTGAAAGAAAAGCAATTTTTTTGTCCATTAAAATAACATTGTGATCAGAAATTGATCAGAAATACAGTGTAGACATTGTTAATGTTGTAAATGTACAGAGGCCCATTATCAGCAACCGTCAGTCCTGTGTTCCAATGGCACGTTGTGTTTGCTAATCCAAGTTTATCATTTTAAAAGGCTAATTGATCATTAGAAAACCCTTTTGCAATTATGTTAGCACAGCTGAAAACTGTTGTGCTGATTTAAAGAAGCAATAAAACTGGCCATCTTGAGACTAGTTGAGTATCTGGAGCATCAGCAATTGTGGGTTCGATTACAGAATCAAAATGGCCAGAAACAAATAACTTTCTTCTGAAACTCGTCAGTCTATTCTTGTTCTGACAAATTAAGGCTATTCCATGCGAGAAATTGCCAAGAAACTGAAGATCACGTATAACGCTGTGTACTACTCACGTATAACCCGGTGCACAACTGAGCAAGAGGACAAATACATTAGTGTCTAGTTTGAGAAACAGACACCTCACAGGCAGCTTAATTAAATAGTACCCACAAAACACCAGTCTCAACGTCAACAGTGAAGAGGCGACTCCGGGATGCTGACCTTCTAGGCAGAGTTGCAAAGAAAAAGCCATATCTCAGTCTGGCCAATAAAAAGAAAAGATTAAGATGGGCAAAAGAACACACACTGGACAGAGGAAGATTGGAAAAAAGTGTTATGGAAAGACGAATCGAAGTTTGAGGTGTTCGCATCACAAAGAACATTTGTGAGACGCAGACCAAATGAAAAGATGCTGGAGGAGTACTTGATGCCTTCTGTCGAGCATGGTGGAGGAAATGTGATGGTCTGGGGGTGCTTTGTTGGTGGTAAAGTGGGAGATTTGTACAGGGTAAAAGGGATCTTGAAGAAGGAAGGCTATCACTCCATTTTGCAATGCCATGCCATACCCTGTGGACGGCGCTTGATTGGAGCCAATTTCCTCCTACAACAGGACAATGACCAAAAGCACAGCTCCAAGCTATGCAATAACTATTTAGGGAAGAAGCAGTCAGCTGGTATTCTGTCAATAATGGAGTGGCCAGCACAGTCACCGGATCGCAACCCTATTGAGCTGTTGTGGGAGCATGGAAAACAAGGACATTTCTAAGTGACCAAACTTTTGAACGGTAGTGTATATATTTTTGACAATTTGGAACAGTGTAAACACTACTAAATCAATTATAAATAATACCAGAGAATTAAGTTGGTTTCCCCTCTCCTCACTTTTCTTAGACAATTAAGGCAAGGGCTGTTTTCTCGTCTCCTAACTCTGCTGCTGCCTCCGCCGCATTGTTCTCAACACCAATATGCTGCTTAACTTTGCTATTATGCACATAGCAACATGGTCTAGGAAAAGGCACCAATTGAACAGCGCACTGATGTTTCAGAACCAACCACGGACAGCGACCACTATCCAACGCGGGAGAAAGCACATTTGTGATAAAATAATAAAAATGGTATTTGTGTTGCACCATTGTTCTTACATAATATAACAATATACAATTTCAGTAGCACATGGCTTAGACTGATGGACTGTACCATCCCCACGGCCTCCACAATGGATCAGTCCACTCAGACATGCACGAATCAGACAGGTGTCTTGTACACAATTATTTTTTTGTTTGTTTTTTTGCTACTGCTCGACTAAAGAAGTCTCGGTCGACCAACGGCCTATTGACCAAACAATCGACCAGTCAACTAAATGGGGTCAGCCCTAAGCAGAAGACGCATTGAATTGTATTGATGTTGTCATGTTAATGCCTTCGGAATGTATTCCGACTTTTTCCACATTTTGTTACGTTACAACCTCATTATAAAATGGATTAAATTGTTTTTTCCCCTCATCAATCTATGCACAATACCCCATAATGACAAAGCAAAAACAGCTTTTAGAAACATTTGCTAATTTTTTGAAAAAACTATTACATTTACATAAGTAAGTTAAAGCACTTTTGGCAGCGATTACAGCCTTGAGGCTTCTTGGTATGACAATACAATCTTAGCACACCTGTATTTGGGGAGTTTCTCCCATTCTTCTCTGCAGATCCTCTCAAGCTCTGTCAGGTTGGATGGGGAGTGTTGCTGCACAGCTATTTTCAGGTCTCTCCAGAGATGTTTGATCGGGTTCTAGTCCGGGCTCTGGCTGGGCCACTCAAGGACATTGAGAGACTTGTCCCGAAGCCACTCCTGTGTTGTCTTGGCTGTGTGCTTAGGGTCGTTGTCCTGTTGGACGGTGAACCTTCGCCCCAGTCTGAGGTCCTGAGCGCTCTAGAGCAGGTTTTCATCAAGGATCTCTCTGTACTTTGCTCCGTTCATTTTTGCCTCGATCCTGACTAGTCTCCCAGTCCCTGCCGCTGGAAAACATTACATTTACATCATCCCCACAGCATGATGCTACCACTACCATGCTTCACAGTAGGGATGGTGCCAGGTTTCCTCCAGAAGTGACGCTTGGCATTCAGGCCAAAGAGGTCAATATTGGTTTCATCAGACAAGAGAATCTTGTTTCTCATGGTCAGAGTCCTTTAGATGCCTTTTGGCAAACTCCAAGTGGGCTGTCATGTGCCTTTTTACTGAGGAGTGGCTTCTGTCTGGCCACTCTACCATAAAGGCCTGATTGGTGGACTGCTGCAAAGATGGTTGTCCTTCTGGAAGTTTCTCCCATCTCCACAGAGGAACTCTGGAGCTCTGTCAGAGTGACCATCGGGTACTTGGTCACCTCCCTGACCAAGGCCCTTCTCCCCCGATTGCTCAGTTTGGCCAGCTCTAGGAAGAGTCTTGGTGTTTCCAAACTTCTTCCATTTAAGAATGATGGAGGTCACTGTGTTCTTGGGGACCTTTAATGCTGCGGACATTTTTTGGTACCCTTCCCCAGAGCTGTGCCTCAACACAATCCTGTCTCGGAGCTCTACGGACATTTCCTTCGACCTCATGGGTTTGTTTTTACTCTGACATGCACTGTCAACTGTGTGACCTTTATATAGACAGGTGTGACCTTTATATAGACAGGTGTGTGCCTTTCCAAATTATGTCCAATCAATTCAATTTGCCACTGGTGGATTCCAAGTTGTAGAAACATCTCAAGGATGATCAATGGAAACAGGATGCTCCTGAGCTCAATTTAGAGTCTCTTGGCAAAGGGTCTGAATACTTATGTAAATAAAGTATTTCTTTTTTTTGATTTTTAATACATTTGCTAACATTTCTAAAAACCTGTTGCTTTGTCATTATTGGGTATGGTGTGTAGATTGCTGAGGATTTTTATTTAATCAATTTTAGAATAAGGCTGTAACAAAGTGTGGAAAACGGAAGGGGTCTGAATACTTTCCGAAGGCACTATATAGCATAAGTTGATCTGTATTGCTCTATTTCTAGGTGTGTTACTGCGGAAGCTGGAAGCAGGTATTCGTGGGATCAGCCATGTGATTGTGGATGAAATCCACGAGAGAGACATCAATGTGCGTATAGCTGATGATCCCCCAAATCAGAATCCTTAGTGGCAGTTGCCCCTGATACAGATTGAGCACACTCAATGGAGAATCTACATTGAGAATTATTATTATTTGTAGTCCAGGACTAGGCTTAATCTGTGTCAGGGAAATCAGCCCTCTGTGTACTATATATAGAATAAATCATGTTTACTTTTCAGACTGACTTCCTCATGGTGGTGCTGAGGGACGTGGTCCAGACATACCCAGAGGTGCGCATCATCCTCATGTCGGCCACCATCGACACCACCATGTTCAGAGAGTACTATTTCAACTGCCCCGTCATCGAGGTGTTCGGCCGCACATTCGCAGTACAAGGTAAGAGAGCTCAGTCAAATGGAGCTTGCACACTTTCTTAAATCAATCTAACCTTTATATGATCTAGTTTATGGGCTTGTAATGGATAGGTCTAAGGTGTTTCTAACAAAGTACTTTTTGGAAGATTGCATTCAGATGACTCATTTTATTCCTCCTCTGAGTGATAGAAAGAGGAAGGACAAGGATGAGGAAGGAGGAGATGAAGAGGTGTGGGACAATACTTTATCCTCGGTCTCAAGCACAGAGGACCATTTCATTTAACCACAGTTTCTTGTTCAACGGAAGTGTGGTCTTTGTATATGTTTGACTTCCTCTTGTTTGTCACAGGCCAACTGTAATGTGATATGTGGGCCAGAGTACACCCCAGAGACTAAGCGCTCCATGGCCCAGATTAATGAGAAGGAGACTCCCTTTGAGCTGGTGGAGGCCCTGCTGAAGTACATCGAGACCCTCCAGGTGACCGGGGCCGTGCTCGTCTTCCTGCCCGGCTGGAACCTCATCTACTCCATGCAGAAACACCTGGAGATGAACCCACACTTTGGTGTGTTTTCTCGCTACTAATCCCTGGTTCTACCATAGAAATGCTATTGGTCAAAGTATTTGGATTGATATCAACAAATGCATTGTCATTTTAGTCTCAAATCACCCAAGTTTCTCCCTTTTGAAATGCTGTTGGTCCTAATTGTAATGATAACAGTAAATTGACTTGCTTTTTATTTTTGTTTCACCCAGGAAGTCAACGGTACCTGATTCTACCACTCCACTCTCAGATCCCCAGAGAAGAGCAAAGAAGGGTATTTGAGCCTGTGCCTGAAAACATCACCAAGGTCAGTCAGTCTGGGTCCTAGGGTTTTTCCTGTATTGGTGTTTAATGTTGCGTATATGTTATTAATTTTTTATCCTTTTCAGGTGATCTTGTCAACAAACATCGCAGAGACCAGTATTACCATCAATGATGTAGTATACGTCATCGACTCTTGCAAGTACCGTATTTTCCGCACTATAAGGCGCACCGGAGTATAAGCCGCAGCAGCTAAATTGAATGATATTGAATGATGTGTACATATATAAGCCGCACTGGACTATAAGCCGCAGGTGTTTTAATGTTTAATTACCATATGTAAGGGTTCGTGCACAGAGGGGATTGTCGGGAAAGAGACAAACTGTCTCGCTCTCGTAATGTCTGTCTGTCTTGCTCTCGTTCTGTCTCTCGTACCACTCTCGGTTCCACTTTTACTTTTGCGCGCTACCTGTCTCACTCTTTTCCGGCCTCCAGCTTTTCCTGCTGGAGCCCGCCGCTTAAAGGTGGGGGGCGCGGACCGGTCATAGAGCCCATAGAGTTAAAGTTGGTGGCCTGTAACCTGTAAAATCCATAGATTTAGGAGGTCTTCTAGTGGCCGTTAGCTGTAAAAATCCATAGATTAGCCGCACCGTTATATAAGCCGCAGGGTCGAAAAATGGGGAAAAAGGCAAGATTCTCTGGACTGATGAAACCAAGATTGAACTCTTTGGCCTGAATGCCAAGCATCACGTCTGGAGGAAACCTGGCACCATCCATATGGTGAACTATGGTGGTGGCAGCATCATGCTGTGAGGATGTTTTTCAGCGGCAGGGACTGGGAGACTAGTCAGATTAACGGAGCACAAAGTACAAAGAGATCCTTGATGAAAAACTGCTCCAGAGTGCTGAGGTCCTCAAACTGGGGCAAAGGTTCACCTTCCAACAGGAAAACGACCCTAAGCACACAGCTAAGACAACACAGAAGTGGCTTCGGGACAAGTCTCTGAATGTCCTTGAGTGGCCCAGCCAGAACCCGGACTTGAACCCGATCGAACATCTCTGGAGAGACCTGAAAATAGCTGTGCAGCGACGCTCCCCATCCAACCTGACAGAGCTTGAGAGGATCTGCAGAGAAGAATGGGAGAAACTCCCCAAATACAGGTGTGCCAAGCTTGTAGCATCATACCCAAGAAGACTCGTGGCTGTAATCGCTGCCAATTGTGCTTCAACAAAGTACTGAGTAAGGGTCTGAATACTTGTGATATTTCCATATTTTTTTATTAGCAAACAAATCTAAAAACCTGTTTTTGCTTTGTCAGTATGGGGGTAGATTGATCAGGGGAAAATACAATTTAATCCATTTTAGAATAAGGCTGTAACGTAACAAAATGTGGGAAAAATCTGAATACAAGGGTCAGAATAGTTTCCGAATGCACTGTAGTTAGCTACATCTATGGGATTTTGTTTTTCTGTCGTGCATCATGTGCAGTAGCGTGTGTGTGTGTGTGTGTGTGTGTGTGTGTATGTATGTATGTATGTATGTATGTATATATATATATAAATATCATACACACACACACACACACACACACACACACACACACACACACACACTACCAGTCAAAAGTTTGGAAACACCTACTCATTCCAGGGTTTTTCTTTATTTTTACTATTTTCTACATTGTAGAATAATAGTGAAGACATAAACTATGGAATCATGTAGTAACCAAAAAAGTGTTAAACAAATCAAAATATATTTTTATATTTGAGATTCTTCAAATAGCCACCCTTTGCCTTGATGACAGCTTTGTACACTCTTGGCATTCTCTCAACCAGCTTCATGAGGTATTCACCTGGAATGCATTTCAATTAACAGGTGTGCCTTCTTAAAAGTTAATTTGTGGAATTTCTTTCCTTCTTAATGCGTTTGTGCCAATCAGTTGTGTTGTGACAAGGTGGGGGGGCATATAGAAGATAGCCCTATTTGGTAAATTACCAAGTCCATATTATGGCAAGAACAGCTCAAATAAGCAAAGAGAAGCGACAGTCCATCATTACTTTAAGACTTGAAGGTCAGTCAATATGGAACATTTCAAGAACTTTGAAAGTTTCTTCAAGTGCAGTCGCATAAACCATCAAGCGCTATGATGAAACTGGCTCTCATGAGGACCGCGACAGAAATGGAAGACCCAGAATTAACTCTGCTGCATAGGATAAGTTCATTAGAGTTACCAGCCTCAGAAATTGCAGCCCAAATAAATGCTTCACAGAGTTCAAGTAAGACACATCTCAACATCAACTGTTCAGAGGGGACTGTGTGAATCAGGCCTTCATGGTCGAATTGCTTCAAAGAAACCACTACTTAAGGACAACCGCCGTGGCTTTGTGAGATGCGGTATGGGTGAACGGATGATCTCCGCATGTCTATTTCCCACCGTAAAGCATGGAGGAGGTGGCCTCCTGTAGCTCAGTTGGTAGAGCATGGCGCTTGCAACGCCAGGGTTGTGGGTTCGATTCCCACGGGGGGCCAGCATGAAAAATGTATGCACTCACTAACTGTAAGTCGCTCTGGATAAGAGCGTCTGCTAAATGACTAAAATGTTGTTGTTTTTTTAAATAAAAAATGTGTTATGTTGTAGGGATGCTTTGCTGGTGACAGTGTCTGTGATTTATTTAGAATTCAAGGGACACTTAACCAGCATGGCTATCACAGCATTCTACAGCGATACGCCATCCCATCTGGTTTGGGCTTAGTGGGACTATCATTTGTTTTTCAACAGGACAATTACCCAACACACCTCCAGGCTTTAAGGGCTATTTTACCAAGAAGGAAAGTGATGGAGTGCTGCATCAGATGACCTGGCGTCCACAATCCCCAGACCTCAACCCAATTGAGATGGTTTGGGATGAGTAGGACTGCAGAGTGAAGGAAAAGCAGCCAACAAGTGCTCAGCATATGGGAACTCCTTCAAGACTGTTGGAAAAGCATTCCAGGTGAAGCTGGTTGAGAGAATGCCAAGAGTGTGCAAAGCTGTCATCAAGGCAAAGAGTTGCTATTTTAAGATTCTCAAATATAAAATATACTTTGATTTTGTTTAACACTTTTTTGGTTACTACATGATTCCATATGTGTTATTTCATAGTTTTGTCTTCACTACTATTCTACAATGTAAAAAATAGTACAAATAAAGAAAAACCCATGAATGAGTAGATGTGTCAACTTTTGACTGGTTGTGTGTGTGTGTGTGTGTGTGTGTATTAGATAACGGCACAATCATTTGGTAATTTTTGGGCTTGTGCTCATTAAATGTATTTAATGTATGGCTCATCAGGCTCATGTAGCGTCAGGCTTGACTTTTCCATCAAAGCTCTAATAACATCCAGACCTAGGCCTATTTTATATGCTTTATAATGCTTTTGAATGACACTTCCGGTTTTGGCAGGAAATACCGGGTTACCTGGGAGAAAAGTGATTTATTCTCGGGGTGGAACATTTTGTAAAATACCAGGAAAATATTCTACCCTACTAATGACCACCCATGATGGTGTGTTTTCTCTTAGGCAGAAAGTGAAGCTGTTCACGTCTCACAACAACATGACCAACTACGCCGCGTCCGGGCTGGCTTCTGCTTTCATCTGTGTAGCAGAGCACGCTTTGACAAGTACGTCTCTGAACCGCAACCTTCATTGGAGTTGAAGAGATCACAAACTTCTTGGCCCGTATTCAAAAAGCCTCTCACAATAGGAGTGCTGATCTCGGATCAGATCCCCCCCTGTCCATGTAAACATATTAATTATGATAAAAGGCTAAACTGATCCTAGATCAGCACTACAACTCTGAGATTCCAAATGAATATTGAATATTTTCTCTTACCCTTACTTGTATGTCATACTATGAGTTTGATTTGAAAAACACAAGTGAAGAATGTATGCCTCTGCTTCTGTGCCTACCCTTTTCTTCATTCCAGACTAGAGACCCATATGACCCCTGAGATATTCCGTACTCCTCTCCACGAGGTAGCCCTGAGCATCAAGCTGCTGAGACTAGGATCCATTGGTCATTTCCTCTCCAAGGCCATCGAGCCCCCTCCCCTGGACGCGGTTATAGAGGCAGAACACACACTGAAAGGTTAGTCTTTTAGCTTTGACCTTAAAGCTAGAACCCTTAATTGCTACATCCATTTTTGGAATGATAGGTTGATGTATATTATACCCATTGATTCTTACAGAATAAAACTATAATGTTGATATCATGGATGGTCAGTCCTTGCATACATAGCAGTCCATAGCTCTGTCTATGAATTTTTGTGCTTACATTTCTCCAGGCCTATCCCTCAGCTTTATTCAAACAGGCGGGGTGACCGCTTTATCGTTTCTATTAAGGATTCTAACTTTAATAGATTCGTTTTTTCATCTAGAGTTCTAGAAGAGCCCCATTGTTGTAAGCATTACCAACCACCTTGAATAGTGTTGGCATTTACGGTTCTTTTTAATATTTTCCCACTAGAACTGGATGCCTTGGACACAAACGACGAGTTGACTCCACTTGGTCGGATCCTTGCAAAGCTTCCCATCGAGCCACGGCTGGGAAAGATGATGATTATGGGCTGCATTTTCAAGTGAGTGCTGCATCAGAAGTCATGCATGAATTTAGTCATACTATTCCATATTGACAAATCGCTATACACATACAGTGTTTTATGTTTCCAATGAGAAATGGTTTAAGTAGTTGATGCTTTCTCTGCTCTGCTTTCTAGTGTTGGTGATGCAGTGTGCACCATCTCCGCAGCGTCCTGCTTCCCAGAGCCCTTCATCAATGATGGCAAGCGCTTGCGCTACGTGCACCGCAACTTTGCTGGCACCCGCTTCTCAGACCACGTGGCACTGCTGTCAGTCTTCCAGGCTTGGGACGATGTGAGGTGAGTCCTGGCTTCATAGAAACATGCTTTTATATTATATTATTATTATTAAACATGCAACATGTACATCTAGAAAACAACCAATTCCCTCTTATGGATTAGAATGAAACACTCCTATTCTCTCTCACTACCTGGAAAATGAAGGTTATAACGGCTTGTTAACTTTATTGTAGAATGGGAGGTGAGGATGCAGAGTCCAGATTCTGTGAACACAAGAGGCTCAACATGTCCACACTGAGGATGACCTGGGAGGCCAAAGTGCAGCTGAAGGAGATCCTCATCAACTCTGGCTTCCCTGAGGGTAAATTATGTCTGTCTCAAATGGCCTATGGGTCCTGGTCAAAAGTAGTGCACTTTATAGGGAATAGGGTGCCATGTGAACAACCCAATTTGTGTTGCAATATTGGCATAATATACAATCACATTTGAAATAGTTTGCTGTTTTTTGTCTTTTCATTTGGGTGCTTGATGACACAGATGTTCAACAACGTTGGACCCGACAACAACCTTGACGTGGTCATCTCTCTCCTGACATACGGCTCCTATCCCAATGTGTGCTACCACAAGGAGAAGAGGAAGATTCTCACCACAGAGGGGCGCAATGCCCTCATCCATAAATGCTCAGTCAACTGCCCCTTCAGCAGCCAGGACATGACCTACCCATCACGTTCTTCGTCTTTAGCGAAAAGGTATGATCTCAAATTAGAAGTTGTCAACGTCTACATAATATGAATACACTGGTGTGTCAAAGGTTTTACTCTTCTATAGGTTATTTCTATGCTTAAATGTGAGCTAACGGGGTCACTCTGTCAGTGTTCGATGACAATCTATGATTGTAAATTGGGGTACAATTCAGTCTGACTGCACGCAACCAATTAACACTACTACTACAATTCATGACCACTGGTCTTTTTGTTTTCCACCAGATACGGACTCGAGCCATCTCCGCCAAAGGAATGACACTAGTCAGCCCACTCCAGCTGATCTTGTTTGCCTCCAAGAAAATCACATCAAACGGGGAAATCATTGAACTGGATGATTGGTGAGTGTAGCTACTGTCTTTAAAGTGGTGCAATAGTGGAAACATGTTTTTTCCTGCATATTTACTTACAATACTAAAAAGGGTTTTGGATGAAGCATGAAAATTGTGAGGTGAAGCAGATAAAACCACCATCTGTATTCACAGGATAAAACTGAAGATACCTCATGACGTGGCTGGCTGCATAGCGGCTCTGAGGGCTGGAATGGAGGCCCTTGTTGTGGAAGTCACCAAAGACCCTGAGTACATCAGACAGCTGGACCCCACAAACGAGCGCATGCTCAACATCATCCGCCAAATCTCCAAGCCCTCCGCAGCCGGGCTTAACCTCATGGTCAACAATCTACGGTAAGATCAACATGACAGATTAGACTTCTCAGTTCAGGGGAGTAGGAAAATATCCCAAATGGCACCCTTTTCCCTACATAGTGCACTACTTTTGACCAGAGCCCTAGCAGCCATAGTCCGATAAACATCAACAAACATAACATACCATACATACTTGTAGTGAAGCCATGTAGTGGCAATATTGGATTAGTTTATTCTGTGTAGGTTATCAACATTTGTGCACAGTATAATCTACTCCACTGATTGAGTAATAGGACAGCATATTACTTTTTTCAGTTGTGAAATATGTCTGTTTTGAATAACAAATACAGCTGGTTTACATGTTTTTCTGTCTTTATCAGTTTTGGCGATGGTCCACGTCCTCCTAAGATGGGCAGGTTTGATGGAGGTGGAGGAGGGTACCGAGGTGGAGGATACAGAGGTGGAGGAGGAAGTAACAGAGGAGGCGGCGGCGGATACCAGGGCGGCGGCGGCGGATACCGTGGAGGTGGTGGATACAGGGGGGGTGAGGGATATTAGAGCATTTGAAGTGTAACATTTTGGATGTTGTGTATAAAAATGCATAGTATGACCTTATTAGGAGCATGATGTTTGTTTATTTGACTAATATTACAAACGTTTCTGTAAGGATGTTTTGTTTTAGTTGTGCATTTTGTGAACCCCCACCACCACCACTTTGAAGTCAAGGTTATTGGCCCACATATTATACATTGGGTATTTAAATCTACTGGAATTAGGCATCAACAAATGTAAGTATTTGCTGTACAGATCATCCATTCTCTGTATTATCTTTTAGACTGACTCATTGGATTAGTTTGTATTTGTTAGTGTTAAATATTTCATTTCATGAGCCTCATTTTGTCAATAATTTATAACTGAAAGACGATCATTAAAGAAATCAATTCAATAAAATACTTTTCCCCAACACTGGCAGATTTCCTTGGCATTTCCTCTGAAGGCACACAAAGGAGCACAATTTTGGAAAAAAAATTCATGAATTGTTCATATAAAGTGTACGTTTATGGGGCCAGTGCATAAAATAGCTTTTAACTTTATAGTTCATTGAAATGGATATGAACACAAGATAAATTATCCAACACAATCGCCTTAAGTAGTAACATCTGTTACATGGCAAGATACTGAGCAAACAGCTACATTCAATAGGGAATTGTCTGTCAAAGGTCTGGTTACTTCAACTTGTTTTAACCATTGTGTACAACACATTTACGCTGCAATCCTAGACTCAGGAATTCACCTACATCGCCCTTGGTGTTGTACTCCAGTTTGTTGGTGGTGATCTCCAAGCTGAGTTTCTGCAGGGCCTTGGAAAGATGATCTGTCTCGTTCTTGTCGCCACTGGCTGTCTGCTCCAGGTCCTCACTCAATTTTTACAGATTGTCAGGAACAAGAATGGTCACGCCATAACCGTGGTTATCATGAATGTGGTTGTCGATGAGCTTCAGCTGGGGCTGAGGGAGAAGCTGAATAGAAAGCACATTTCATGTTACTGATCAATCCTTGGTTTTCTACTTGAGTCGACACAGACATAAGTGAGGTTTTTCACTATGGTGACGCTTACATCATCCACCTTTTTAAATTGGGTCTCTGCTTTACTATGCCACATTAATTACACTTACAACACCACTATCACAGATTTATCATGCTGCTGACAATCGAGGGTTCCTCCTTGATTTAAACACTTTAGTTGATTCATTTCCCCAGAATCCCCACTTTCCCAAGAGAGTAAGCGGCGAAGCGAGAGGTTTTACTCCACCCAAAATCTGTCCACAAAAACAAACCCATGAAGTGAGGAATTTTTGTATGGAGGTCAACGAGTGTCGAATTTGGTCAACAAAATAGAAGTTTCATAATGGTTAGGTTTATGAATGCACTGAGAAAAGTGGACGCACATGGCACTTTGGCAACTTTTGAAGAAAAAAAAACTATAGAGGACATCATGTATATAACCCTTTATAGCATGGACATAGTCATCGAGGGCTTCCACCATTTAAAAGTAGTCAACTGGGTGGGGATTCCTATGAGTTGGGAGCAATCAGCCAATGAACAGAATTGACAGCTTTAAAATGGATAGCATGGGCAGCGCCATTGAGGCTATCACAGATGCTATAATGGCATAGATACTATCATAGATGCTATAATGGCATAGATACAAAGATGAGTCCTCTATCCATCTCTATGGCTTGTTGTTCACGTGCGTATCTGCCCTCTCATTGGCTAGAATGGTCTCACCTGAGCTCGCCTCCACCCACCTGCCTTCCATCTTTGACGACATGTATTTCCATTGTTAGAGCGGCACTTGACTATCTTGTCAATATAATAGACAATCTTTGCTTCCCCTTAAAGCTGCAATATGTCAACTTTTTGGGCGACCTGACCAAATTTACATAGAAAATGAGTTATAGATCTGACACTCATTGAAAGCAAGTCTAAGAAGCGGAAGAGCTGTTATATGTGTACTATTTCAGTTCTTCCCGTTCTTAAGTTTCGTTTTTGCGTCTTTTACTTTCGGTTTTTGTACACCAGCTTCAAACCGCTGGAAATACAACATTTTGGTTACTGGAAGGATATTTCACAGCGGTTTAAATGGGGTACAAAAACCGAAAGTATAAGAGGCAAAAACATAACTTGTTTTGTCACAAACTGAAATTAGGTGAACTATTTGAATTTTAGCAACCCGGAAATGGCGTAGCGATTTCTGCATATTGCACCTTTAATGTTCCATACTACGCAACCACAATGGAATTATTTAGTGCAGGGGTCTTCAACCATATGTTAGCAAAAAATAAAAATAAAATTCAAGTCTTATCAGGGGGCCGGTTCAGACCAGAGTTAAGCACGGGTAAATGCAACGTACAGTGCATTCGGAAAGTATTCAGACCCCTTGACCTTTTCCACATTTTGTTACGTTACAGCCTTATTCTAAAATGGATTAAATAAAACAATTCTCATCAATATACACACAATACCCCATAATGCCAAAGCGAAAACAGGTTTTTTTGATATTTAAGCTAATGTATAATTTTTTTAAAACAGATCTACCTTATTTGCATAAGTATTCAGACCCTTTGCTATGATACATGAAATTGAGCTCAAGGTGCATTCTGTTTCCATTGATCATCCTAGAGATATTTCTACACTTGATTGGAATCCACCTGTGGTACATTCAATTGATTGGACATGATTTGGAAAGGCACACACCTGTCTACAGTGAGGGAAAAAAGTATTTGATCCCCTGCTGATTTTGTACGTTTGCCCACTGACAAAGAAATTATCAGTCTATAATTTTATGGTATGTTTATTTGAACAGTGAGAGACAGAATAACAACAAAAAAATCCAGAAAAACGCATATCAAAAATGATATAAATTGATTTGTATTTTAATGAGGGAAATAAGTATTTGACCCCCTCTCAATCAGAAAGAATTCTGGCTCCCAGGTGTCTTTTATACAGGTAACAAACTGAGATTAGGAGCACACTCTTAAATGGAGTGCTCCTAATCTCAGTTTGTTACCTGTATAAAAGACACCTGTCCACAGAAGCAATCAATCAATCAGATTCCAAACTCTCCACCATGGCCAAGACCAAAGAGCTCTCCAAGGATGTCAGGGACAAGATTGTAGACCTACACAAGGCTGGAATGGGCTACAAGACCATCGCCAAGCAGCTTGGTGAGAAGGTGACAACAGTTGGTGTGATTATTCGCAAATGGAAGAAACACAAAATAACTGTCAATCTCCCTCGACCTGGGGCTCCATGCAAGATCACACTTCGTGGAATTGCAATGATCATGAGAACGGTGAGGAATCAGCCCAGAACTACACGGGAGGATCTTGTCAATGATCTCAAGGCAGCTGGGACCATAGTCACCAAGAAAACAATTGGTAACACACTACGCCGTGAAGGACTGAAATCCTGCAGCGCCCGCAAGGTCCCCCTGCTCAAGAAAGCACATATACAGGCCCGTCTGAAGTTTGCCAATGAACATCTGAATGATTCAGAGGAGAACTGGGTGAAAGTGTTGTGGTCAGATGAGACCAAAATGGAGCTCTTTGGCATCAACTCAACTTGCCGTGTTTGGAGGAGGAGGAATGCTGCCTATGACCCCAAGAACACCATCCCCACTGTCAAACATGGAGGTGGAAACATTATGCTTTGAGGGTGTTTTTCTGCTAAGGGGACAGGACAACTTCACCGCATCAAAGGGACGATGGACGGGGCCATGTACCGTCAAATCTTGGGTGAGAACCTCCTTCCCTCAGCCAGGGCATTGAAAATGGGTCGTGGATGGGTATTTCAGCATGACAATGACCCAAAACACACGGCCAAGGCAACAAAGGAGTGGCTCAAGAAGAAGCACATTAAGGTCCTGGAGTGGCCTAGCCAGTCTCCAGACCTTAATCCCATAGAAAATCTGTGGGGGGAGCTGAAGGTTCGAGTTGCCAAACGTCAGCCTCGAAACCTTAATGACTTGGAGAAGATCTGCAAAGAGGAGTGGAACAAAATCCCTCCTGAGATGTGTGCAAACCTGGTGGCCAACTACAAGAAACATCTGACTTCTGTGATTGCCAACAAGGGTTTTGCCACCAAGTACTAAGTCATGTTTTGCAGAGGGGTCAAATACTTATTTCCCTCATTAAAATGCAAATCAATTGATAACATTTTAGACATGTGTTTTTCTGGATTTTGTTGTTGTTATTCTGTCTCTCACTGTTCAAATAAACCTACCATTAAAATTATAGACTGATCATGTCTTTGTCAGTGGGCAAACGTACAAAATCAGCAGGGGATCAAATACTTTTCCCCCCTCACTGTATATAAGGTCCCACAGGTGACAGTGCATGTCAGAGCAAAAACCAAGCCATGAGGTCGAAGGAATTGTACCGTGGAGCTCCGAAACAGGATTGTGTCGAGGCACAGATTTGGGGAAGGGTACTAAAAAATGTCTGCAGCATTGAAAGTCCCCAAGAACACAGTGGCTTCCATTATTCTTAAATGGAAGAAGTTTGGAACCACCAAGACTCTTCCTAGAGCTGGCCGCCCGGCCAAACTGAGGGGCCTTGGTCAGGGAGGTGACCAAGAACCCGATGGTCACTCTGACAGAGCTACAGAGTTCCTCTGTGGAGATGGTTGTCCTTCTGGAAGGTTCTCCCATTTCTGCAGCACTCCACCAATCAGGCCTTTATGGTAGAGTGGCCAGACAAAGCCACTCCTCAGTAAAAGGCACATGACAGCCCGCTTGGAGTTTGCCAAAAGGCATCTAAAGGACTCTCAGATCATGAGAAACAATATTATCTGGTCTGATGAAACCAAGACTGAACTCTTTGGCCTGAATGCCAAGCATCTGGAGGAAACCTGGCACCATCCCTACGGTGAAGCATGGTGGTGGCAGCATCATGCTGTGGGGATGTTTTTCAGCGGCAGGGACTGGGATACTAGAGATTTCGAGATCCTCTGTCCAACTTTCATCAGTCAAACTCACCTGTCGCATTTATCTATAGTTATGCACATGCGCAA